GCTCAAGACTTGGGCTCTACCAGATGGACCTGTCCACAGGCTGCACAGAGGTACTCGCAGTATAGCAGCGGGCTCTCCCCAGAGTAAATGGTTTAAGAAAGAGACCAAAACAGAAGCCAGTCTCTCTTACAGTTATCTCAGAAGTGTCACACCATTACTTCTGACATATTCTGTTGGTCACATAGATGTCCCTGGTTCAGTGTGGGAAAGGCTACAAGGGATGTGAGTACCAGAAGGTGAAGATTTATTGGGACCCTTTGAGAGGCTGACCACACAGTCCTGGGAGGCCTGAGAATTCAGCTGTCTGGAGTTTAAGGCCAAGGGGAGTGCAGAGATTTTTGTCTCTTTGATTGATAGCCCTAAAACAGTAACTGGTCCGGGGAAGATGCCCAATTAATATTAAAAGAATGAGTTAATATTAAAGGAAATGTGAACTTATCTTGCAGCCACAGCCTGGTAAATTCTGGGCATTGGTTCCTATTTGCTTTCCTTAGGATTTTTAGCTCAAGATTTGCTTGATTTGACATGGTCACTGACCCTAAGGGAAGGTGATCTCCATTCTTTCAGAAGAAAAGAAAAATAGATTGAGAGTATACTATTTGCTAGATAAAATTCAGTCCTGCAAATATTACACTTGGGTTTGCCTAGCTCTCTAAAATCAGCACTAAGCGGATATCTTCTAGGGCACCATTACTTTTTAGGGAAAGTTGAAGAGTTCAAAAGAGTCCATCATGGGGTCTGTTTTGAGGCAACTCCACAGATAAAGCAGGGACCGGGTTTTAGTACCCTGACACCTGAGGTACAAATAACCAGTACTTACCTGGTAGGGTTAGCCACTTCTGCATATCAGAAGCTCAGGTTTACTTTATCTTGAAATTGGACTAGCAGGGCCTGTCAGATAGAGCTAAGACTGACCCCTTAGTGGAGATAAACCATTCAGACTCCTTGAACTCATATTTATCAGTATTAATAATTATAATTGATATTATGGTTTAAGTACCTAATGTGTTTTTCCTCAATTTTCACATTTATCCTTAGAATGGTCATGGGGTGTGTCTGCCTTGTTCACTTTAACCCTCTTCTCCTGAGATTCTTGCTCACCCGGAAGTAAGTCCTCTGTTCATGTTGCTGCTACAGGACCCCCCCTTCCCTGGTCACAGTTGATCACATGATGGATGGTAACCTGAGCAAAAAGGGCTAATCAGATTCTATGTCCTGTATGTCTGGAATTGGGACTAAGAGGCAGACTTGAACAGGTGAGTTATAAAAGGCTATCGATTTGACACCAAAAGCAAAAAGAGCAAAAGCAAAAGTAAATAAGTGGGACCACATCAAACTAAAAAGCTTCTACTTAGCAAGAAAACTGCCAACAAAATGAAAAGACAAATGGGAGAAAATATTTTCAAATCATCTATCTTATAAGGGTTAATGCCCAAGATATATAAAGAATTCATACAACTCAATAGCAAAAAAAAAAAAAAAAAAAAGAATCTGATTAAAAACATGGGAAGACAATGAATTCTGGAACATTGAAAAGAAATTTAAAAAATAAAAATTAAAAAACAAAACAAACAAGAAAAACATGGGAAGAGCATCTGAATACATATTTTTCCAAAGAAGATATACAAATGGCCAATAGTTATATGAAAAGCTGCTTAACATTCACTAATCATCAAGGAAATGCAAATTGAAACCACAATGGGATATTACCTCATTCTTGTTAGAGTGGCTCATATCAAAAAGACAAGCAAAAACAAATGTTGTGGCATCTGGGTGGCTCAGGGGGTTAAGCCTCTGCCTTTGGCTCAGATCATGATCTCAGGGTCCTGGGATTGAGCCCTGCTTTGGGCTTTCTGCTCAGTCGGGACCGTGCTTCCTCACCTCTCTCTGGCTGCCTCTCTGCCTACTTGTGACCTCTCTCTCTCTCTCTCTCTCTCTCTCTCAGTCAAATAAATAAGTAAAATCTTTAAAAAAAAAAGAAGAAAAAGAAAAAGAAAATGTTGGTGTAGATGTGGAGAAAAGGAAACATTTGTGCATTCCTGGTGGCAAAATATATTGGTGCAGCTACTATGGAAAACAGGATGGAGATTTCTCAAGAAATTAAAAGTAGAACCACCACATGATTCAGCAATTCCATTTATGGGCATTTATCCAAAGAAAAGGAAAACACTAACTCAAAAAGATATATGCACCATGTTTACTGCAGCACTATTTGCAATAGCCAAAACACAGAAGCAGCCTAAGGAACCATCAGTGCATGAAGGGATACATGTGGTACACACACATACACACCAAGTGGAATATTATGTAGCCTTGAAAAAGGAGGAAATCTTGTTATTTGCCACAACATGGATGGTCCGTGAAGGCATTGTTATGCTAAATGAAATGAGTCAGATGAAGAAAGATAAATACCACTTAATCATACTTATATATGAAATCTAAAAACCAACCAACCAACCAACAAAAACAAATAACAAAAATCCAAACTCACAGATACACTGAACAGATTAGTGGTTGCCAGAGATGGGGCATGATGGGTGGGTGAAGGTGGTCAAAATGTACAAACTTACAGTTATAAAAATAAGTAAGTCATGATGATGTAATCATACAGCATGATGAATATACTGTATATTTGAAAGTCGCTAAGAGAGTAGATCTTTAAAGCTCTCATCACAAGAAAAAAATGTGTAACTGTGTGGTGGATGTTAACTAGACTAACTGTAGTGATCATTTCATAATAGATACCAATATTAATCATTAGGTTGTATACCTTAAACTAATATAATATTATAGGTCAGTTATATCTCAGTAAAAAATAAAGATTACAAAATAAAAGAGGTATGGAATGATCTTTCTTCCTCCTGTAAGAAAGATGAGAAATGAAGAGAGTATTGCTTATGTATATGTTTACTGAATTTGTTCTAGACCTACTGAAGTTTATCTGCTCTTGGGGTCCATGAGATACCTCAATATCCTTCCAAAAAATTCTTTTTTGTTGCATAAACTAGTTCAAATTGAACTTGCTGCCTGTATCAAATCTGGTTTACACATAGGAACATTGTGAAGTTGAGTCACTTGCCCAGGGCCATTGAGGTACAAAAGGGGCAGCAGAGCTGAGATTAAATCAATATCATAACTCCTGAGCCCATCATTTATCCCATACTACCACTAGGAGAAAGTGTTTCCCCTTCTCAGCTGTCCTAGGAGACTCACATCCCTTAAAGCTGATTGTGGTCATGTGACTTGCTTTGGTAGAGGAAATATATAATCAGAGGTGACACGATTCATTCTCAGCGGGGACGTTGATTGTCCATTCCTTCTCTGCTTCAGCAGCCCTGAGCACATCACAGTATGGAGAACTGTAAGATCAAAGACGCATGTACACTGAGCCAACGCTCTGGGAAGCCACCTGAACTGACAGCAGACTTCTCATGAGAAAGAAATAAGCTTTTGTTGTTTCAAGCGACTGAGCTTTAGAATTGTCTGATTAGGCAGCAAAACCTGTCTTATTCTCATCTATCCAAACAACAACACCTTATTCCCAAGGCCACCTTCTCGATTTCCTATTGAATCGATTCCAATTTCCCCTTCTCCTAGAGCTATTCCTTCAGTTACATATGCTGCATAATAAACCCCTCCAACACTTACAACAGTAATGATTTATTATATCTCATGATTCTGCAGGTTGACTGGACTCAGCCATGGGGTTCACCTACTCCACGAGGGATAACAGAAGGTCATTTTTGTGGCTCCATTTGGTGAGGAGCTTGGCTGGGACTGGAATGTGCAAGACAGTCTTTCATCCTTGGAAATCTATTTCCACGTGGCCTTTCATTAGTGAGAAGTCTAGCCCAAGCTTCTTTACGAAATGGAGTTTCTAAGAGGACAGGCTCCCATTCACAAGTACTCATCAGGCCTCCACTTGCGTCACATTTGCTACTGTCTCATTGGCCAAAACAAGTCACATGGCCAAGCCCAGCATCAAGGTAGCTGGGACAGTATCAGGGCATGAATTCCAGAAGCCATGGTTCTTTAGGGACTTTCAAGGTAACAGTCTATAACAGCCATTAATTAAGCATTATGTTGAATATTAACAGTTTTAAAAGTGTTTTCACTTTTATTATCTCATTTTTGTTTAACAGTAACCCTTGAGGAATAAATATATGCCACCCCTATTTTACAAAGAAGGTGACAAGCTCTCAGAAGTCTGGACTCCTAAAATCACACTACTAGTAAATGGTAGAGTGGTGACTTGACCTCCCGTCTTCTTACAGCAAGTCCTATGTCTTTCTATTATATCATAGCACAACCTGTGATATCGAGCTATGACTTCCAGGTTTGATCTTTCCAGGTTTTGAAATTTTGCTGACAAATTTTAAAAAAGTATTTTTCAAATACTTTTTCTAGAGCTTGGATTATTGTTTTTAATTGTGTGTGTGGGGAAATGCACCCAGTTCTCAAAGACTTTGATATATCATAACAAAGTTACTAACAATGTTAGCTTCTTGTAAAGCAAGTGCCAATGAAGCCAGAGTGGCTTCTGGGAAGCACACACCTTAGATCAAACCCTGAAAGGGGACTTACTTAGACTTCATAATGCCCCAAGTTTCTTTGGGGCATTATGACGAAGAGTTTTAGTCCAGATCCAAGTTCCTTAAGGCATTTGCATTTCTGGGCAAACATCAGTAATGAGAGATGACTAGCAAGATTTCCATTATGGCTGGGCAGGGGAAGGGGGTTGACTTGGGAGGGTTATAAAATTGAGAAAGCATCCATAATTCTCATTACTGCTTATAATCATGGATGCTAGAGAATAAATCACAAGGAGATTAAAATCAGACCTGGCTCAGAAGCACAACCTGTGTTGCCATGGTCATCAATGGTGGTGGAACAGACATTCAGAAGAACTACAGCCCTGGGGCCCATTATGAGCTGAAATCTGCGGCCACACCTTCCCTGGATGAGACGCTCTGCTGAGGAACACCCTGGACAGTGTCCTGTCATCTGCTTCCGTACTCTTTGCCTCCAACCTCCAGGTGACACTTTTCATTAGGAACCTTGGCTGGCTGGGCCTTTGATCCATTCCCTTCACTTTCCTTGTCACTTTCCTGGTATGGAGAGAAACATGGAAAATTTAACTGCAAACCAAATACCTCTGAACTGCCCCTCTTGCAAAGACACCCCGTACGAAGCTTCTTTATTTAATGACTCTTAGGCTTCACGTTCAGCCAACTTCTACAACCCATCTCATGACATTGGAACTTCACACAAGAAAAGCAGCTACAAAGTATCATGGAGGGAAATTGTACATAATTTCCAGGTGGGAGAGTAATTTATATGAAGTGGAAGCAACCAATCTTCCCCCATCAGGAGGTCACATACCTTATTTTGTGTCCTATAGTACTCATTCAACACATACTGATATTTGGGTTGATTAAGACCAAAGAAGGTAGCAAATCTTTCACCAAGGAATTCACATGCTAAAAGAAAGAACAAGCACTTGGGTAAGTTGAATTAATAACTAAAACTTAGAGTCAGTCGAGGGGTAAGAGTTTAAACTTGCCTGGAGGAGATCTGTTACTACACTTAACTGGAAGGCTGATGAGAGATTTTAATTCCTCTGGATTCTCAAGAAGTTCTAGGACTCAGAAGGACTTGTCAAATCTTCTATCTTCCCATGGGATTACGTCTAAACTATCCTATCCATATGGGTGTGTCAGGAGAGATTTTTCAAAATACTCACTACCCAGGGCCAACGTTGGTGCTAAGCAATCACAGTAGATGCTTTGCTTATGAAAGGTAGAGATAAAGGTTTAGCATTAATAGTAGCTTCCTGAAGGTGTCTCCTAGAAATATTTCCCTTTAAAATTGTAGGATTTCTGACACCTCCCCCCGTCCCCAGTGACACAATTTTCTGATCCCCATGACTGATTCCTCTTCTTGGGATGTTGCTCATAGAACACATTGGAATGGGGCTCTACATTTTTTAATGTGTTTTATCTTTTCAAAAATACTGTAGCTCTTGGCTGCCTGGGTGGCTCGGTTGGGCAACTGCCTTCTGCTCAGATCATGATCCTGGAATCCCAGGATCAAGTCCCGCATCAGGCTCCCAGCTCAATGGGGAGTCTGCTTCTCCCTCTGACCTCCCCTCTCATGCTCTCTCTCTCTTTCAAATAAATAGATAAAATCGCTTTAAAAATACTGTAGCTCTTTAATCTCTTTGCTTGCCACCGTGCATGGTATATGTGTATAAGAGAAGTTTCTAAAATATTAGAATAAATCTTGGGAAGTTTTCCTGTTTAGGACCTACTAGAATTTTAGATTGAAAACACTCATTACAGGTTCACCTGGGTGTCAGCTCTATCCAGAGTTTTCTGTGTGGAGACCAGGTGCTAAGTGGTTGCATACCCATGCTTCCACTACTACCTGGAAGGCCCACACAGATGCCCTTGAATACTACAGTTTTGCTTGGAACCTGGAAGGCAGCTTGGTTCCCCTTGTGTCCTGTCCTTGCCATCTTAAGTCAAAGCCCAGCATGGAAATCACTGCCGTCCCTGTTCGCCTTCACATTTTCATATTGCTGTATTGGGTTTTTCTTCTTCACCTAACCTAATCTCCTAAGGTTTTCTCCCTCCAAAACATTTCACCTCTCTGAACGGTCTTTCCCCAACTAAAGCACAGAGCTCTCTGGAAGACAGCATATATATTCTGCCAGTATGTTATGCATGAGGCAAGACTGTATCTCACCCAGGTTCCCAAAGTAACTTCCAAATCCATAACCATCTACCCTGGTGTGAAAGCACTTGCTCCTTTAAGGCTCATACCATCTGACTAAATCACCCATCACTACTTTTTACTGTAATTCAAACACTTCCCTCCCCTCCCCTGCCCCCGGTGACTTTCATGGTCTCCACGCTGAACTTAGCCATACTTTCATAGCACTCTGATGGTACCGCCTCCATACGTCAGCGTTACTGAGTTTCCCCATGGGTAGTCCCAATGCTCCTTCCACCTGGCAATGGTCGCAACAAATTATAATTATAGGCATGTTTACTGGCCTATAATATCCATTGAACATTGAGTCCTTTGAAAGCAAAGACTGTCATTTGTTTTCATGTCCCAGGGACCCACACAGTGCCAAACACATACTGTCACTCAATAAATGTTTGTTTAATGAATGAATGAAGATCAATTCTTCAGAGCTATAGCTATACTTCATATTTTCTCACATTTTTAAAGTTGTTTCCTCCCTGTTGTCCATATAAGCATATGTGAGTTAGAAGGAAATAAGTAATAAGGTATTGCCAATTGGGCTCTAAAGAAAATTGGTGAATATCAAGGAAAATAAGATTTAGTATTTCATCTGTTATAAATAGCCACTTAGGCCATTCACTGTGTCCCTGGGAAGGGCCAATAAAGTTCTTATTCATAACAGAGTGGTTATGATGAGGGAACTTGGAACTGTGTCATATAACAATAGTTTAAAAAAAAACTTGGAAGTTTATTCAGAAAAAGAGTCAACTGGGGATGGGGAGAGGTTATTGTCTTCAGATATTTGCAACTCTGTCCTGTGAAAGAGGAGCCTAGGCTTGTTTTATGCGGTCTTAAGAAAGATCACTAAGATCCATGGGAATAACTTTAGAAGAAGACAAAATAGGAGGTAGAATTTACTAAAAAGAATTGGAAAGAGATGGGAGGGTCTGCCTAAAGATGTGAGGTTCTATGCCTTTGGAAATGTTGAAGCATAGATTGAGAACCGATCAAGTCATTCCTTCTCCGGGATGTCACAGAGCGGAATAAACTATTGGAAGCCCTAACTCTGAGGGTCTGTCAGCCCATCCTTGAGTATTTAGGAAAAACAAATAAATACCGTTAGCAGTACTTACTAGACAATGAGGTGCTTGCTATTTGGCCTGCCCAAAACCATAGATAGGGCCCCCATGAAAGGGTAGACTGAAAAAAGAGAGAGAAATCAAGTTAGAGTAATTATTAATAGGAGTGGTGATACGAAGTGTTTCATGTAGAGGTTTCAAATGCTTTCTAGTATATTCCATTTTCTTTCTCATAGAGGAGAAATACAAAGTAACCAAAATTATGAGCTGACTATAAATGGATCTAGAAAACAAACTAAGGGGAATAAGGAGTTAGCTTAAAACTACATTTTCTGCAAACCTTGTCTGGCTTAATCTCTCATGCACTCAGTCCACATGTTCATCAATATTGATGCTGTAAGCTTACAGGATCATGTGTTGAATTTGTTTTCTGTCCCTCTTTTTCTTCCTCTTCCTCCTCCTCTGTGCTATACTCTTCCATGATGTCTCCATCAACGAAATGGATAATTCTTTTGGGAGTAGCTCCTTTGGGAGATCCACTCTTCTCTAATTTGGACTCCCGGAAATTGCCTTCTTCCATAAGAAAATAAAACAACTAGTGAATTAAAAGCCAGACACCTTAGGGCAGGTCTCCTGGGCAGTGTTTCTATAGCTGAGAGGTATTTGATTGTTCTCAATGGGTAGTAAAGCTAGAGACTCCAGATATAATCACAGCTGTGATCTCATCAATTCTTTGAATCCAACAAGGACTCTCCAGTTCTGTATAAAAATGGAAAAAATTTTATTAGTAGTGAAAATGTGAACTTTGAGTCTCCAAACAAAAATGTCAGCAGGGTTTCCTTACCCCTTATTAATTACAAAACCAACAAATACTAGTAGGAAGAGTCCATTAACCTGTGGAAATTTCCTAATTATTTCAATAAATAATGAGAGGCAATATATGCAGTGATTAAGAGTGCAAGCTTTGCACAAAGAAGAAAAAAAATGTCAAGTATACCTGGTAAAGGACTTCTTTCCAGAATATGTAAAGAACTATTACAATTCAATAAGTAAAAGACAAACAACTCAATTGAAATATGAGCAGAGAGGGGCTCCTGGGTGGCTCAGTTGGTTAAACATCTGTCTTTGTCTTGGGTCATGATCCCTGGGTCCTGAGATTGAGCCTTGCATCGGGCTCCCTGCTCAGCAGGGTGTCTGCTTCTCCCTCTCCCTCTGCCACTCCTCCCTGGCTTGTGCTTTCTCTCTCACTCACTCACTCTCTCTGTCAAATAAATAAATAAAATCTTTAAAAAAAAAACCCTATTATTTAGTATCTCTGTGCCTTGGTTTCCTTATCTATAAAATAAGAATAGTACAGTTTGAGTGTATGTTTGAATATAGCACCAACCTTATAAAATGAGAATTCAATGAATAAAGATACACCATGGAATTAGAAAAATTTTTAGCAAACAGCAAGTGTCTTGCAAAAGCTAGCTTTTAAGTACCTATCACGTAATAGTGTATATATTAGACACTATTCTAATGTGGTAACCACACTATTGTCTTAATTAGTACTTAATAGATTTTAAGATTATATCACCAAATATGGCAGACTGAGCTGATGTGAATGACTCCTTTCTGGTTCCAAATACACAAAATTAAACAAATAAAAATATTAAATCAAGCTGTACTAAGGCAGGAAGAGAGAAGAGAGAGACACCGGAAAGAAGAAAGCCTAGGTGTCCGCAATAGAAGGAACTCAAAATCCTAAGGGTGAGCGAAAGCTGATGTGATTCCTGAGGGTTTCAGAAATAGATACTAAAGGGGCTAAAGTTTTAACACGGGTGCGGAGAGGAGAGCCCAAATCACAGATCCTGTGAGAGTGAGGAGCCGAAGTGAAACCCCTGCACGAAGCCAAGATAATAGTGTACGATGTTACCTATAAAATATGGGCTAGAAGAACTGCTACTGCTTTACGAAAGTGGCAAAGTAATTTGTCATCTCCTGGCAACACGGATAGAAATAGTCACCTGAAAAATACTGGAACCCCAGGCCAGTACCAAATGCTGGTTGTGGCCAAGTTCATAGTCGTCCTGTGGTATGAGGACCAAAGTGAAGCTGCAGGACGCCTGGGTGGCTCAGGGGGTTAAAGCCTCTGCCTTCGGCTCAGGTCATGATCTCAGGGTCCTGGGATCGAGCCCCACATCGGGCTCTCTGCTCAGCAGGGAGCCTGCTTCACTTCCTCTCTCTCTCTCTGCCTGCCTCTCTGCCTACTTGTGATATCTGTCAAATAAATAAATAAAATCTTAAAAAAAAAAAAGTCAAGCTGCAGGAACCAAAGGCGGGGAAACCCACAGAGCTCTGTTGGAAGCAAGCACAAAGCCACCCTGAAGGGAACAGCCAGCAAGACAGGGTACGCTGCCTCTCCGCTAAAAACAACCCTTGCTGAGGAGACACTTGCAAAATCTTACAAATCACAGGACGAACCCAATTGTCTTGAGGAAGGGTAAGCTAATGAAAACATGAGAGTCTTCACCCAAGAGTTAGAAATACTAGAACAACGCAAAACTTGAAAATGAATGTTTCGTATAGCCAGAGGGATAAAGGAAACAAAACATAATATCCCAGAGGAACAGGTTGATTTGAAGAAGAGCTGAACAGAAATTCTAGAAATGAAATATATAGTCAATATAGGATAGGTTGGATGTACATTGAACAACGACGAAATCTCTCATAGCAGAGCATCAAGCGGTATATATTCCACCAGCATAAAGGGAAAGCTTTGAGATGAAGGACGGGTGAGAAAGTCCAATACTTACCGATTGAGAGTTCAGAAGAAGTGAACAGAAAAAACGGAGAACACAATATTTGAAGAGGTAACAGCTATGAATTTTCAAAATTTGAAGAGCAACATAAATCCTCAAATACAGGAAACCTAAAGAATCCTAAGAGGGGCAAATAATAATGAAATCAAACCTAGATCATGGAAATTACTGAAAATCTTAAAGGTTACAATACACAAGGCAGATTACTCACCACGGTGTAACACACGAGTGGCTGACATTAGATCAGCAACAACTGAGACCAGAAATATGTATGTTTATGTATATATGAATATTCATATATTTATGTGTTGAAAGGGCCAGGGGCAGGCTGCCCCAAATAGGTCACTTTGGCATACTGATTGTTTTAAATAAAGGTTACTTAAGAGCCAGCCTGTGCGAGAAGGACACTATGAAAGCAGGAAATCTATGTGAAAGGGACCCTCCCTGGGTACCAGAGATAGGAAATTTAGACCCAAGAAGACTGTAGAAACAACCCTCGTTGCTTTTTACCGATTCGCTATCCCAGCCCAGAGTCTGTTCAGAAGTCCATACTAATTAAAGCTCCGAAAGTTTTATTTGTTCAGTGAATTCTTCACAGATCTATCGTCTCTCTGTCTAAAAAGTACAGAATCAGCCTGCCTTGGGCATTTCTTTGGGTCTCAATTTCATTATCGGGTCTCTCTGTGCATATAATAAAACTTTGTTTTTCTTTTCTCCTGTTCATCTGTCTTTTGTAAATTTAATTCTTTGTCCAACTGGAAGACCTTGAGCATAGAAAAAATTGTTCACGCCCTTCAGTATAGGCGAAAAGATCACCAGATCTTAGTGGTACAGTGCTGAGTTTATGTCCTTGGTGAAGGTGAGGGTTGCACAAGGCCCGTCGAGGATTAAATTTGTCATCTGCAGCGAGGTGATGGGAGGTGATGGGATGCCCGCCCAGCACAGGGGCTTCTAAGGAGACTTGAACGATGCACGGGGTTTTCCCTGCCTGACTTAGTGTCTGCGTCACAACAGAACCTTAGCAAGAAATAGGAAAAGTTGTTACTGTTTAGTTTCTGATGCCAAAGAGCAGCAAAAAGTAAGCATTTTAATCTGGTGTTTAAGACCCAATTGTTAGTGCCATGAGAAATAAAACACATCCTACAACGATAGTCAAAAGCAACTCACCTGCCTTTATCCCTCTGCATTTTCTTTTATTGCTTTTCCTCGTTATGTTTGGCTTGCAAAGTAGTACGGAATTTGGTGCTGGAAATTGTTCGGGAGCTTGCGAGTCAGTGAAACTCGGCTGAGGCCGTGCTGAGCCCTCGACTCTGCTGACGTGGACTTGCTCTAGTGTGTGTCTCACAGGGTGCAACGTGTTTGATTTGTGGGAAGGTCAGTTCTGTGACACACGCTGCATTACAGAAACCCAGTGGCGGTTATCTTGCCCAGATTAGAAGCATCTAAGGGTCTTTTAAGAAATTCTAAGGGCAGAACACACCCTAGACCACTTAAACCACAATCTCTGTGGGTGGGACGTGGATACTGGTTATGTTTGAAGCTGCCCAGGTGATCCTACTTTGCAGACAAGTTTGGGGACCTGTGCCCAAGGAAGCAGGAAGAGATTCAGCAATCTGGTGTACTTTGAGCTCGTGCCAAGACGTCTTGTGTTATTTTTTTTTCAAGAGGGCTTTTTGTTTTTTTGCTTTCGGAGCAGTCCCCCCAACCTTGCTCCAACTAAAAAGCTTAAATATAAAAAGTTTAAGAATAAGGCCTAGCAGTCCCACTATCATTTACTGTACTTCACTCCTCTGAAGACCATCTCCCAGTTCATACGTTTCCAAACCAAGGGAAGTACCCCATCACCCATATTCCTGGCTTAGTGTTACCTATTTTACAGATTCATGATACCTGTTGGCTCTCAGAAGAAAATACTGGCTTGGGTTCTACCTGATAATAGTGTTGAGAGTTAAATAGGCATTTATATCTTTCAGTTGAGGGAGGCTCAAAGGGAGGGTGGAGAGAGAAGGAGAGAGAGAAAAAAAAGAAAGTGAGAGACTTAGCTTACAGTTGATTTAGTGAATATTTTTCTGCCACTTAATGGACTTTTTAGGATGTGCTATGCAATATTACCGAAGAATGTGGAATCTTTTATTTTTTTTAAGATTGTATTTATCTGAGAGAGAGAGAGCACATGCCAGGGGAGGGGCAGAGGGAGAGGGACAGGCGGACTTCGAGCAGGGAGAGGAGCAGGGAGACCAATGAGGGCCTTGATCCCAGGACCCTGGGATCATGACCTGAGCTGAAGGCAGACGCTTAACCCACTGAGCCCCAAGGTGCCCCCGGAATCTACTTATTTTTATTTACAAAACCCTTGGGAGCACCACCAACTTCACACCATGTGCGCAGACATGGATGTTTTGCAAGTGACCTTTCGGAAGGCCAAATACTCCCTACAGCATGCTTTTTCCTCCGTTTCATTATGAGCACCTCTACTTCTTTCTTAAAAACCCCAAATCCAGTTTATCAAGAATTGTGCCTAAGGATATAATTAACAGACCATACAATCTCCCTAATCTTTTAGTATTGGAGTACCTCTAGGCTCAGTGATTTGATCTCCTGTTTTTACCTATTCACTGATGATCTCACCTGGCCCTATGCTTGTAAGAACGATCTACACACAGATTTAGAACCAGCAGTGCGATCTCCAGGTCAGACTTTCCTTGGATCTCAGGCTCATAGATCCTCCTGTCCACTCCACACGGCTTCTTGGACGTCTGATAGACTGCTCAGCCCCGACAAAACTGAATCTTTGCTCACACTCCAGTGCACTCTCCTTCCCGCACACCCCTCCCCTAGACACACACTCCTATCTCTTCGGGAGTCTTTCCATTTCAGAAAATGCCAATTCTATTCTTCCAGTTATACAGACCAGAAACTTTGGAGTCCTTCTTGATCTTTCTCATTTAATCACACTTCCGATTAAGTCCAACAAGAAATCCTCTTGGATATTTCTGGAATCCTCATACCACCCCTCCAGGCTGGTCTGGGGCATCATCTCTCACCTGGATTGCTGCAGTCGCCCCTAACTGGCCCCCTACAGTCTATACTCAAAAGGCAGCTAGGGTTGTTGAATCCTAAATCAGTTCCCATCACTTCTCGGCTTAAAACCCTCCAGGGGGTTCCCTCGGCACCTAGGGGTAAAGCCCAAGTCCTTATAATAGCCTGCAGGGCTGTAGATCTGGGCCCCAATACTTGTCTGATCTCATTTTGTGCTGCTCTCCCCTTCACTCATCCCACTTCCATACACTGGACACGGACTCCAGGCTGGAACCTTGCGCCCGCAGTCCCCAGGACTAGTCAGTCCTCCCGTGGACTTTGTTCCCTCACTTCCTTCCCGGTTTTAGTGCAAATGGTCTGCTCTGAGCTCCTCTGTCTCTGGAGGCTCCTTCCCGTTGCCACCACCACTCCACAGTCTACCTCACTGTTGTGTCTCCTTAGCCCTTATCCTCACTGAACATTCCCTGTGTTCCACTGGTCTCCCTCTTCCCTTCCCCCGGCTGGTCTTCTGGCCAGAGTAGGGGGGGCTCTACCTGTGAGCTTCCTGCTCTGTCTCCCGCCCCTGCAGAGACGTGGCTGGAACTCAGTATTTATTTAATAAGTGAACCATATGTTCAGATCATTTGAACAGGTGGGGTGAGGGATTATGTAGTAGGTTGAAAAAAAAGAGAACAGACTTGTAATTGGCTTTATTTCTGAAGCTAAAATGGCTGCCTTTTGTTTAATATTTTTCCCATTACATTTACACATGAATCATTTCATTAAGTCCTTCACTGAAACGCAGCACTGTAATCTGTCCCTACAAAATAACAAATATAGACTTGGCATTTAACTTCAGGAAGACATCGAACCTAAGACTACCCGGGGCTCTTTCACTTTGCACTCATCAAGGCATGTTTTCAAATGAACCGGGTTCAAGTGCATGGGGTGGTTAGTTCCGCAGGAGCTACCGGGCCCAGGGCAGGGAGTCCCAGCTTCCATCTTCCCCTCTTCCCCAGGCTGGGGGGTCTAAAGGTCGAGCCTCTGGTGGACACGGGCCTGGGACGGCCAAAGCCCCACTTGGCAGAGCGGAATTGGCTACCAGTGTCTCGCCGCCATTTCATGGGAGAAGGGCCCACTCCGTTGTGTGTGACTCACCGTAGAGCGGGAAGCGGGCAGGGCTGAGCGAGGAATTCTGTGGACTGAGCAAAGATGAACACATGGATCAGTCAACCACTGCTCCCCTGAGAACTGCTGACAGAACATTCCCTGACAGGATTTTTCTATCTTTATTTTCAGTACTGAGCCGTGGATCAAGTGACATGACTGACGGGCCACTGGTGCTGTTAGGGCCTTTCTCAACCTTCTCTATGTCAGGGCAGATGATGTAGGGAATTCTCTGAAATTCTGGAGGTGACCAGCCAGGGAGCTCCAGCCGCCTTACGCTCGGCCCAGCTGAGAGGCTGAGGTGGCTGAGATCAAGTAGCTCGAGGCAAACTACTTGGGAAGCTCAAGAGAACAAAACCCAAGGGGCACCTGGCCGGGTGAGTTCAAGCCCCATGTTGAACGGGTGTAGGGATTACATAAATAAGCAAAACTATAAAAAAGTTTTCTTTAGAGAATGAAACTCAAGCTACCAGTGAACAAACACTCTCTAGGGAGCACTCTGAATGACAATATGAACTCACACCTACCTCGAGCATATCAAAGATTTTAGATATACTGAATTGCATTTAAGTGATAGCTCTGGCCTTTTGGATAAGTGCGTTTTTATAATTCCCAGTAGGCTCCCCTTAATTTAGTCCCTTCAGTTTACTAAAACATTTTAAAGATAAAGATGTAGGCGGCACCTGGTGGTTCAGTCGGTTAAGCACCTGCCTTTGCCGGGGTCATGATCTCAAGGTCCTGGGATCCAAGCTCTGAGCTCCCCGTGGGGCTGTGCTCAATGGAGAGTCTGCTTCTCTCTTTTCCCTCTGCTCCTCTCCCCGACTTGTGCTCAAATAAATAAAATCTTTAAAAATAAAAATGTAAATTCTAAGCAAATTACTCAAATATCAAGCCTTTAGACACAAAATTATGCTAAGCCAGATGACATCCCAAGTTTTCTTTTTAAGATTTTGAGAGCACACAAGGGGGGGCAGAGGGGGCCTGGCAGAGGGAGAGGGAAAAATAAGACTCCTCACTGAGCAGGAACCCAGGACCCTGGGATCACGACCTGAGCGGATGGCAGATGCTTAACTAACTGAGCTACCCAGGCACCCCCCAAATTTATTTTTTATACACATATTAAGAGATTTAAAAAATGTGGTATTTTCTAAAGCACACTCTGGAAAATAAAGAAAGATTTCCAAATGGGGTTTTATGTCTCAGTACATTTATAGCTCAAGTTTCCAAAGCAGAGTTTAGTGCAGAGCACTGCTTGGCCACAAGGACTGGCTCTCTAGCCCAGGTTCCCATAGGACACACCACTGCGCTGCACTGGGTAATGCAACAAGGAAGGTAGATACAGGCCAAATGAATTCCTACTTTGAGGTTCAGAGGTGGTAAGTACCAATAACCATAAATAGAAACCAGATAGGTCGAGGAATGTTGGATAGTTAATGAACTCATGTGGCGTAAAGCACCTGATGCATGTGTGTCTGTCATCTGAAAACGTTACTGTGAAGAATTAGGGGTTTTGTGTCCTATTAATGGTTACTGGTTTAATAAATGTAAAAATACTTGTCAAAAAACAAAATCCCGATGAATTTGTAAGTAAAATTACTTTTATTTTCATAAATAAAAAGGTAATTCATTATATAAATAACACTTTTAGCGGAGTATGTTAACTGTCATTATCCAGTTTAACTAAGAATGAAATGTACGCATAGTTAACACAAAGTTACATCCCTCTACAGCTTTCATGCAACTGCTTTACATCTGTTAACTTCCAAAAATCTCCAACACCATTTTAAAGAATATGATAAAAATGGGGAATTCTAGTCACAGAGCGTCACTTATGCTGAAGTCAACACGATATTACTTGCTCAGGTCGAAGCTGCCAATTACTGACTTAAAGTAACACCAGTATTTTCTGCATTTTACAGAAGCACTGACCATATGACGCGTTTTCATGCCACGTATGGCGGTATGATTCACAAAAATGTCGATGTGAAAATTCGGTTAACTAGGTCAGTATGCCCTAGTACCCGAGATAAATAGTTCCTACAGGCCAAGAGCAACAAGCGGGCATCAAGAACTAAAGTTCCGTCAGTAAATGGCATACCGCAAACCAGTGATTTCGTAGTAGCACACAAACTACAGTGAAACTTAATTAAAATATTTTTTCTCTACACAGCGAAATAAAATTAAATGTCTGGTTATTATTCCACTTATTGGACTCTGCAGCTTCAAATATTAACTGTTACACAGCAAGGGGTAATTAGCATCTCCGCATATTTAAAAAAAAAGAACCCTCACTGATACTAAGTATTTTCGAGAGTGAAAACTGTGATTTAAAGTAAAGACAGGCAGAATCTATTTCTTCTTTTTAAGTTTTGTTTTGTTTTTTAGTAATTTCTACACCCAACGTGGGGCGTGAACTCACAACCCTGAGATCGTCGTGTGTTCCACTGACTAAGCCAGCCAGGCGCCCCTATTTAGTCTTCATAATGAAATGTTTATTACTATTTAAATACTTTACGCAGATTCTACTTATTTGTCACAGGACTGTGGTGTGGATTCGATGGTTCATCCATGATCAGTGTTTAGCAGAGGGCCTGGCAAATAGTAAGCTCCTGGTGTCCACTACTGTTATTTCTATTAAGTGAACCAATCAGTCATTTATGATAGGAAAATCAGCTAACACCCCAGAAGAATAATCAAAAGATAAACCTACAGATATGTGACTTTTGTTACAAGTATTATGCATCCACTATTTCCCAGGTTTGTGTATATGCTAAACTAATGACTTCAATATTACGAGCTATTTTTAAGACCATACTGTATGTTTGCTCTTTTAAGTTTTTGTTACGGCCTCTGGCCTAAAGCAATACAATTTGGATAAGACATGTGTATTAGAAAACCATATAGAAACAATGTACACTGAAGTCAGGTAACAAAGGCATTTCACCATAACTTCTGTTGCCAAAATGTAGTTACCAGTGTAATTCAGGACAACCTACCTCCATTTAGGTTTCAAATTTCTTCTTTACATCATGCATTATCTTACTTCTGCAAAAACATTTTCATTCTTTGTTCATTAAGAGCTGTCACAAAGTTCTGTCCTCTAAGTAAAAAAACCTACTAGGAAAGGTACTTGTAAAAATCATTATAGGTTCATTGAGATTGAAATAAAGTGCAAGGCTACCAGAATAAGAGTATGTATCTTTTTTTTTTTGCTAAGATTTATTTATTTACTTGAGTTATTTGTATGTCCAACATGGGGCCTGAATTCAGAAACCCGAGATCAAGAGTTACATGCTCCCCGCACTGAGACAGCCAGTTGCCCCTGGCGTAAGTTCTTAAATGGTCTCAAAATACTTATAAACACTGATTTTCGAACAAATTATCACTTCTTATATATGTGAGGGATTTGGTAGAAGATTTTCTGATCTTCAACTGTAAATAACTTTTCTACCAGAAAAGATAACAGACTCAGAGCATGTCTGTGTGACAACATAACGGTGAAGGGTGAAAACCTCTCCGTTAAAAACCAACTCCTCTCATTCTTCTGGCATCAAATAAGAGAAAGGAAAATAAACTTTTTTTGTGTGTGAAGACAGAAAAACATACCTGAAACCACATGATTCTGGCCTATATTAACCAGAAACTTATTACTACCCAGAGTTTGGAGACAAAAACCAACAACAAAATAGGCCCTTCAGAGGCATAATAAAATCTTTTACATGTTGTCCTGATTAAAAAGGCGTCTGGAAACAAAGCATGAAAAAAACTCTACTACATTAAAAATCAAGAACAAATTAAACCGAAGGCAGATTTCCCTCTGAATGTACTAAATCATTCTACAGGCTTCAGAGGAAGCATTTCAAGAAATATGAAGTTCCATGGTTTCTCTTAGCTACTAGTAAAGAAATTCAAAGTGCCCATTTTCTCAATGTACTTTAAGAGATATAGCATCCCGTGTCCTTCTGAGGTTTGATATCTGGTTCTTTCACAGGTTTCACCACTTCTTCTGGTTTGGGTTTGGTCTAGGGAGAAAGAGAAACACAGCAGTAAGTACATAAACTTTAAGACTTGAAAAACAAACACTAGATCTTTTCCACCTTAGATTTCTAAGAGATGCTGTATTAAATTACACAATACTGAGATTAACAATGCTGTTCCAAAAGCTACGTGTATCAATTCAAGACATAATCAGGAAGCAACATTTCAGTGAAGATGAGACCCTAGATGGGTAGGCAAACATCAAGCTAATGGTGCTCTTCCTCTTTCTGATGAGGGAGAAACTGAGCGATGAATCTGTGCACATGGAACTCTTCTAAGTTTGAAAATACCTCATGACAGTAACAGGCTACCCCGTACAGCATTACTTTAGAGGCTGAGCAGGATAAAAAGTCATTTTATTTTATTTTTTTAAAAGATTTTATTTATTTATTTATTTGATAGAGATCACAAATAGGCAGAGAGGCAGGCAGAAAGGAAAGGGGGAGCAGGCTCCCCACTGAGCAGAGAGCCCGATGCAGGGCTCGATCCCAGGACCCTGGGATCATGACCTGAGCAGAATGCAGAGGCGTTAACCCACTGAGCCACCCAGGCACCCCAAGATAGTCATTTTAATAATAGTTTCAGAATTGGGAGGAAATTATATTTTAAAAAATTATATTATAAAATTACCTAAAAACATTTCAGGAAGGAGCTATGGCGGCAAATTAATTCCCATCCCTTTTTTTCAGACGCCTCCTCTTCTGGCAGTCAAACCTCAAATGTTCCACTTAATCTACTATCTGACTTAGCACACCTAGATGTACTTAGCTATAAATGAATAAAAGCAGTCTTATTTTACCGCTAGATGATTTCATGGAATGTTGAAATTAGATCAAATCTTCAAATACCCTGAGGCATGCAAAATCCAAAACACAGTATTGCTATAGCAATACAAACATGGACGAGCCATCTGTTTCAGACCTTTTCTCCCACACTCTTCTTAAAGGAGGCTCTTAGAAACTACAGAGAGTCAAGATAAGGTGTTTGAAAACAACTTCAATTATGCAGAAAATCAGAAGATAATTAAGGCCTAGAGATCTTATTATCTCTGAGAGAGTTCAACAACACATTACACAAACACTGCAGGTAGCTCATTTAACGTTCAGACAAATGTATATATCTAAAATGCTAATTCTGAACTCTCTTCTCGAACTTCTGTGAACAAATGGAAGAAAGCCAATCTCATACACTGTCATCCTTGGGTCTTTTGGTGAGATCAAATGCGGCCAGCGTGTCTGGTGTCCAGTGTGCACTTGTAGGAGGAAATTCGAAAGGCACAGGCTCTACGAGACCGTAATTTGCTTTGAGTTCCAGTTGTGGAGCTTCGGTTGGGATTTTTTGAAAGTAACTGCAAAAAGCAATTTAAAAAGCAATTCATTCATTCAACTACTTGAGCGTCTACTATGTTCAAGGCCCTGTGCGAGAGACAGACAGTAATGATGGGCAAGACAGACAAGATTTTCCTGCCTCGTGCAGTTTGCATGAGCAGACCAAACAGGAAAACTTGTCAACAACAATGCACCATAACTGAAGCTGTGACAGATGCTGTACACCGTAAGAACACGAAAGAGGGGCAACTAACTCCCATGTTAGGGGGCAGGGGTGGTTCAGGAATGCTTTCCAAAAGAAGGGACAGAAGTTATACTAGGTATGTTTAAGCAAGTAAAAGAGCTCAGTGTGACCAAATGCAGGACATGAGCGGAAGAACGTAAAGAGATCCAAGCGGGGACAAAACTGCTTCTCCCAGTCCACACAGGTGGTTGTCTACAGTTTGAACAACGCGGACTTAACAATGGAAAACGGTTTGATAGGACTAGGCAGGACTGACAGAAAACCCATCTCCCTGCTCTACAGACAGCTGCAACCAGAGTGAGATGAATATGCGGAGGGAGCAGAGAAGCCATCTATAACCTGGGGGGAAGAAACAGCAGGGAGGCAAAGTGAAGAGAAAATTAAGACACTGTAAGTGAGCTACATGTTAATAACTGATGTTCAATTTTTAGAATCTGCTTTTATATATCATCATCAGAAGTAGAATAAAGTCAGGTCCAACACAAGGGAACTTTACTACCAATTTAAAGAGAATATCAGAGCTAAAGTTAAATGCAATCTGACATAAAATCTTTGGGGGCAGAGACTAACAGAAACTGTGTGATTACTAACACAATATCAATACTTAAACATTATAAATACAAGCATATACCGTATTAATATTACGACAATCATACAGAGCTGTACCCACATGAATCCATTTTCTCTCTGACATTTCTCTAGGGTGTTCTTCACAAGATTTCCAAGTTTCCTGAAGAATAAGTGTCCTGAAGGTTTGACCGTTGGGCCGGGTCCTTTGGTTTCTCCATATTCTTTGCACAATGCTTCTGCCTTGGCATAAACTGCATGTGAAAGGGAAAATCATTTGATTATAATTAGTTATTGACCATACTAAAAAGGCTCTGAATCACACGATAGAAACTTTCCTGCACCTGACCTAGCCTGACAGCAATACCAGTACTAGTGTAAGGGGAAGTGTTTTCTACGGATTTTTTGGCTTTTGAAACTTTGTTTCTCTCTCTCTCCAGTTCCCTCACTTGGTCCCATTCTCTTTCACGATATCAGCCAAAATCTCTTCTAACTGGTTATTTCCTTTTAGGATAAAACATTTGTTTTTAAAAAGGGAGTTAATATTCTGGCAGGAATACTTACATTTTTCTGCTTCTTGGAGGGACCTGATTGCTTCACCACATTTATCGCTAGCCAACAAAGTCTGACCATGATAACAGTAAGCCTGATAGAGAAACACATTTTTATTCATTCTCACCGCAAATGGTGCCTTCTGCTTTCATTGTTTTACATACGCATCAGATAAGGAGCGCCTTTGTCCACTGTTGGAAGTATCAATGCAACCCCTTACACTTCTTTACTTGAATAAGCCTCCCCCAATCACTGTTAGTATAAAAAGTGGGATTAAGTCAAGCTTTGAGCCAAACGAACTTTCTAACTATAGGCTGAGAGCAAAAAGTATTTCTGAATAATGAAATCTGTTTTTACAATCCAGGCACAGCAGATAAAGGAGGGAAATTGCAGTGCTAATGCAGAAGGAGAGGGAGGGAGGATTCTAAGGTTGATGACGAAACAGTTTTCAAGAGAAATGTTATCAGCCTGTAGTATGCCTTGCTCTCTCTTTAAATGTCTGTATCAAAGGCAAGGACTGCAAATGGTCCAACGCTGTATGCTTGAAGACAGGTTTTTAAGGTATAAAAAATAAAATATCAACCTGGATCCAAAAAAGGTGTCTGATTATCTCTCACATGATATTCTAACCAACAAAAAGTAAGTTTGTTTAATGGGTGTTAAGAGACTGATAAGTAACTCCTCAAAGAGGGCTTATTAACGGTTCTGCACAATCTAGGGGACATACTGGACGTAAGCCTTATGATGAGAATCAGTAAATACCTTCTTCAATGTCCAAGATGAAAGGAGAGAATTCTCGTTAAGTAGGTGGAAGGTTCCGGCTTAAAAGTGAGTTTCGCTCAGACAGTAATTCCACTGCTATAACCCAGTTCTACAATTCTACATCATCTATTTCCACCCACTTCAGCTCACAATGGCTGCACTGTCCGTCACCCTTTACTGAGAGCTGTCTGTTATTTGTAAAATGCTAATTAAGAGTCTGACAAGATGACAGACCTAGCACTCAAGGGGCTGGAAAGACAGTAATTCACATTGTTTTTCAGGTTACAAATACTTACATAAGCTGTGTAGAAACACATTTTCAAGTGAAGATACTTTCTCCATTTAGCAGAATACGCAGGCTCCAAACTGGATAAAGTATGATCTAAAGTTACATTTTAAAAAGCAAAATATAATTTCACCCTGATTCACTAGAAGACTTTTAGATCATGTGTTCAGATGCTAATAGCAGAATGCCATTCAAGTCTAAAATTCAAGCATTTACACAATTTCCCAAAAAACTTTGTTTTAATTTTCCCATAACTGTATTTTAACTACATAATAAGGTTGTTGAAATACCACGGCACATCTTTTGATGGTAATATAACAAGTTTAAGATAATGGTAACAACAGAACTTCAAGATAAATACAAATTATATACCGTTTTACTGTTTTCTTAAAATTATATAACACAGCAATGTGTAGTGTGGTCACCCAAGACAGAGACACGGACACTCTCCTTACTGGTCCATCCCCGCAGCACTGAATCTTGCCTAACACAGACATGCACATCCTGCCAGCTTCTCTCTAACCCATTTCTCTTCCACTCCCCACTTCACTGTCTTTATCGAGGCTTCCATCACTTCCTCCACACACTATAATCGTTTCTCAGTGTAAGCGGGGTCAGCCTAGTAGTCCTTCACCAAGCAAGCCCATTTCTCATCTTACAATTAGAGGGACCTTTCTTAAATTCAAATGCAGTCAGATTTGCTTCCTATCTATTAATGGGTCCCAATTATCTCCTGAATAAAAAGCAAATTTCTTAGAAAGGCTTACACACCAATTCAGGATCTCACACATGCATACTTTCTTAACCTTTTCTCCTATCAGCTAAGACATCTGTTTAAAGGTCCCAGAAGATGCTGAATTCCTTCTTATCTCTGACGTACTATAGAATGTTCTACTCTTCCATATGGCAAAGCTTCCTAGCAAACTTAGAACTTCTATTTATGTTTCAAAGTCAGGCTCAAACGCCACCTTCCCCTAGACAATCTCCTCCAGCACGCCTAGATCCTTTTGGTTTTCATTACACTGCTGTAATAACATCTTATTTTATGCTGTGATAATGTGGCTATGTGTTTGCTTCCTTCCCCAGACTGTGAATCTCTTCTACTGATCTTTGTATAGCTAGCAACTAAAATAGTAATCATCCCATACATAGAAACAAATGCTTGTTTCCTAAATAAGTGAATGAAAAGAATAATGGGCTAATGAGAAAACCAGAGTTCTAGTCCCAACTTCATGCCTAGTAACCGTTAAATTACAGGTTGGTTAATTCTCTGGAGTTCAGTTTCTTTAATGACAGCAAATGTAAGGTTATTATTAAGGTAAAAAAAAAAACTTCAAAATTAAAACACCTGTATAATTATTACATATAACTTGTTAAAAAGGACTGCACTGTCCTTTCCGTTAAAAGTTACTAAAAGTTACATAGCACATTAACTGAACAGTCCTCATTCTTTGAAACAACGTAATAAAATAACGTGGTATTATTCCAGTTTTGTAAATGGTCAAACAGTCTGAGAATCTTGTAGTTTTGCTTGTTCCCTATTAAGCCAAGAGTTTAATCTGAAAATCTGAAGACTAAAAATACAACAAAAGAATTATAAACTTACCAGCTTTTTGATAAAAGTTGGCAGTTTCATATGCCAGTGCAGCAATCAGTCCAGGAGCGTGCTTCAGTTCAATTGCTCGAGCAATTGTTACTGTAACCAAAGCACAATAAAGTGAATTGTAATTAAGTTTACTTGAATTAAATTCATTATAATAGCAAAAGACAGCCCAATGATCTATTTGGAATTTTAATAGTTAAGAATTTTAACATGAAAAGTTTAAGTGACAGAAAATGCAAACATAAACCAAAACCACTGAGCCTGCTGATTTTGATACTGTTTCTTTAAATCACTAGCCAATTACTAGCTAATCACAAAAAATTACTACTACTAAAACAAACACTTCCAGGACACTCGAATTTAAGACAGAGAAAAACAAAAAGCCTACAAAGTTTCTTTACTGGTTTTACTGGAGTCTTCATTTATTTCCTGCCACTAAAAGATGAAGATTTAAAGGCAAGCCAAGCAGTGCCAAGAGGAAAAAGAGTGAGCAAGGTAGAGAGGGAAAAAGGAGTTACAGAATTAATCTGATGTTGTCAGAAATGGCATGACATCAAAATCCTTTTTAAAAGAGCCAACAGGGGCGCCTGGGTGGCTCAGTCATTAAGCATCTGCTTTCAGCTCAGGTCATGATCCCGGGGTCCTGGGTTCAAGCCCCACATTGGGCTCCTTGCCTGGCGGGAAGCCTGCTTCCCCCTTTCCCACTCTCCCTGCTTGTGTTCCCTCTTTCACTGTCTCTCTGTTAAAGGAAGAAAACAAAAAACCCCCCAACTTTAAAATAAATAAATAAATAAATGAAAATAAAAGAGCCATTAAACTGCAAGGCCTTTTCCTGCTAACTATCCATGAAGGCAAACGCTGAAGGTGAAGTTGTTCCTCACAATAAATTTCTCAAATGTGAGACTCAAATCCAGCTAATTCTGATTTAAGGAAAAAAAAAAAAAAGAAAGAAAGAAAGAATCAGATTCCAATAGAAATTTCTTTAAAAAAAAAAATCTTACAATATGTAGGATACCTTCTTGAGCTTCAGCCTGACACTGGACAACATAAGCTTCTAGTAGTCGTGCCTCTAAATCCCTCCCCTTTTCTGCAGGTGTAATAAGCTTTGGGATATGACTTTCCTGAGAGAGAAAGAAAAACAACAAAGAAGCCACATTTTATTTTAACCCAGTTGTTAGAGATGAACAAAAATGGAAGACATTCAATTTGAAGATTGATCAGAAATTCAGGGGGTGCCTAGCAGGCTTGGCCAGTAGAGCATGTGCCTCTTGATCTCACGGTTTTGAGTTCAAGCCCCACCTTGAGTGTAGAGATGACGTAAAAATAAGATCCTGGGGCGCCTGGGTGGTGCAGTCAGTTAAGTGGATGACCCTTGGTTTCAGCTCTGGTTGTGATCTCAGAGTCCTAAGGTCGAGCCCTCTGTCAAGCTCCGTGGCTCAGCATGGAGTCTGCTTGGGTTTCTCTCTCCCTTTACCCCTCCTTTCCCCTCCTCTTCCCAGCCCCCTAAAATAAATAAATCTTAAAAATAAGTAAATAAAATTAAAATTAATAAAATCTTTTTTAAAAGGTCTTTAAGAAAAAAAAAAAATCCTAAACAGAATAAATTCAGGGCACCAAAACTGTGTAAAAAAGGAGTATTTAGCTTCTAGAGAACAAAAGATCCTGTATACTAAAATTTTTAAAGCTTCTCATACGCCTCTGCAAAACTTGGGTCAAAATAGATAGCACAGATATGCAAGCTACATTTTCATCTTTGGAAATATTTAACTGCAACAGTAACCAAAGCTCTCTTTTGCATGACTGCTGGAATTACTCATTCATATTAACAACTGTAGAGCAGAAAGAGGTCTACAATTCTGTTAACTCAGAATCACAGGTTTTTAATCACTAAAAGCATCTTACTTTATCATGAAAAAACCCATCATTGGCCTCTGGAAGGTGTCTAGTAATTAGCAGTTTAACTAGGATAAGGTGTGGGTAATCCTGACTGCGAAATACATCAGTCTTTCTCCTAATTTCTTTTGCTGGAGATTTCATATAATTAGTGCAAACTGATTGCCCTCAGCTTTTCACGGAGATAGAATACACTCAAGTTCAGCTTTGCAGAATCATGATTTATCCTGGCAACTGCCACAGACCGCAATGGGAAATGGTAAGAACCGTCAGATTTTCGTGTTTTTTTTTTTTTTTTAATTTTTACCGAAGGGATACAAAAATAACCATTGAATTACAACTTGAATTTTGTAATTGTAAAATTCACTGATGACTTTCTAAAATGAAGACATCTGATATTCTGTAATTGGCTGCAATCACCAATAAAGTATTCAACCTAAGAAAAACAGCCTATACTAGGTTCTTTTTATAACGTGAAATAATTCCTAATCCCTCACCCCAAGAAAGAAAAAGTATTCAAGAATTAAAGTATTAGTCTTTATATTTTGTTATTATTATTTTACCTTTAAATGTTTAAAAATCCCCGCAGCAATTTTTAGGCTTCGATGGACTTCTTTCGCTTCATCTTCTGTTATGCTTAAAGATAGTGGTTACATTAGTTAGAGGATGAATCTTGTTTCTTGTACTAAAATCAACAACTAATGCATTATGATAAAACCAAATTAGTCATTTGTATTTCTTACCACTTGTTTTCTCCCTTTTAAAAAAATTTAATTTGGCACTTAAAAAAATAAATGCACATGAAAAATATCAACAGAAGACACTACAAATGATAAAAAGGGAGACCCTGTCTATACGTTGAGACAAAGCCTTCTTGTTCCTTCCAGATAATCTGTGCATTAAGCAAATGTAAAATATTCTACACCTAATAGATGCACACATGTAAAAACACACACAATATTCACTATTCCATTCGTGCTTAATCATCTAATTACTTTACAGGTGATTTTACATCAGGACATATAATTCAACTTTATTTTACTTATTTTCTTAAAGATTTTATTTTTGAGTAACCTCTACGCCCAATGTGGGACTCGAACTCACAATCCCGAGATCAGGAGTCGCATGCTCCACCGACTTGAGCAGCCAGGTGCCCCCACCTTATGTTTAAATGGCTGCATATCAGATGCACCACAGTTGGTAGTTGCCAGTTTCATACCACTAATGCCCATTTTCACTATTATAAAAATTGCATCTTATTTCATTTCACAATTCTTGAATCCTTCAAAACAGCTTTCTCATCTTTCTCTTTTTCTGTGAGTTACCTGTTTAAGTTGCTTGCTTATTTTCAAATGATTTGTTGGTCTTTTCCTTTCCTTTTCCATTATAAAAATAATTTGTCATGTGCATCGCAATTTTTCTGACCATCTGTCATTTGTTTTTTAATTTTGCTTACGGTACTTTTATGCAGTCAAATACTCTATTTTTTTTCCTTTTCTTGGTTTGGGGTTTTATTTAGAAAGACCTTCCTCATGACAAGATTAATTTTTTTTCCCTTTTAACACTGGGCTCCCATAATTGAGGCTTAAAACGCTATGAGGCAACCTTTCACTTTACAGAAGGGGTATTTTTAATCAATAGCCCAGACTTTTTAATAATGAATCTCCATTTATTTGAAAAATAACACATACATATACAACCCTCCCCTTTAGACTTACTTTTCTTTTCCAGCCAGTCTTGAAGCATATTTGGTATACCATAAAGCTACATTAAATCCCATGGAAATTAATTCAAAAACAGCATCCTGCTGGGCACTAGAATTAAAAACATGGGTGTCATTAAGTTCTGTCAATTACTGAGACTTTGCTAGATGAAGCCCCCGTACATCCAACTCAAAATTATACAAGAACTATACGCTAACTGGAAAATGAAGAAACCAGTCCTGTGTTTAATGACTAAAAATAATGGCCCGTAATAGTAAACATGAGAATAGCAGTTTCTCAAAGGTTACTGTGCACAGACTAGCTTTAAAAATACAAATGACAGGGACTCAACTCCAAAGAATCTGAAAAGTCTGGGAGAGGCCCAGAATCTACATGTTTAGTAAGCACCCAGTTGATTCTTGAGTGGGTGGTTCTTACACCAATTTAAAAGCAATGGAATTCAGAAGAGAGACTGTTTCAGGCTAGAATGATTAGAGAAGCTTAATCGTCGAGACAGTCTCTGAATTGTGCCTTGAAAGATGGCCAGAAGGGAGGCAGGATACTCCAGGTAAGGGAATGAGGCTGTTAAAGCCCAAGAAAAGCATAAACATTTTTTCTGAGAGGAGTGACCCAACTAGAGTGATGCAGCAACACACGGTTTGTAGAAAGAAATCAAGGTCAAAAAGCCAAGCTGAAGTGAAACTGGTAGACTTTGAATGCCAAGCCAATCAGTATGGGTACCATAAGGAAAAGGTCTTACAAACATCTTATTTGTTTCCTTCAGATTCTATTACTAGATATGACACCAAGAGGATGGCAAGAACTTATTTAGCAAATAAGGTAATACTAATTCTTAATCATTCCTGTTTTGAAAAGAACCTGAGAATTCTTTATATATTACCTCATTTATCTCAAATGATGAAGAAGACAGAAGTAATAGCCTTCTTTTATATACATTATACTAAGAAACAGAAAATTTACCCAAAGGGAAGACACTAGAATCATGGTCCCACTTTGTATTTTTTAAAAGCTTATTTATTTATTTGAGAGAGAGGGTACGTGCATGCTCATGCATTTGCAGGGGGTAGGGGCAGGGGAAACAGAAAGAGAATCTCAAGCAGACTCCCTGCTAAGCACGGTGCCTAGCGCAGGGCTGGATCTCATGAGCCTGAGACCACAACCTGAGCCAAAATCAAGAGCTGGATGCCTAACTGTCAGAGCCACGCAGGCGCCCCTCCACTCTATTTGTTATGTGACTGCTGCCTCATAAAAGGAATGGAGACAGGGAAACTTTTTAGATTAAAAAAAAGGAGTGGTGTTGTAAAACATTCACAGTTCAAAAATAACTTACATACTATCCGGTTTAATATGTTACAATACACAAAAACACAAGTTATGTGTTTTTTAATGGAATACTTCACAAATTTGAGTGTCATCCTACCAAAGGGGCCATGCTAGTCTCTACGCTGTTCCAGTTTTAGTGATGTGCTGCCAAAGCAAGCACTAAACACACTTCTTAAAATAGCGTTACCCACGGAAGAAAACTGGAGGCCACAGTTTCATGGTTTATTCTTGGGATGCCTGGTGGCTCAGTAAGTTAAGTGTCTGCCTTTAGTTCAGGTCATGACCCCAGGGTCCTGGGATTGAGACTCACATGGGCTCCTTGCTCAGCAGGGAGCCTGTTTCTCCCCTTGCTTTTGCATCCTCTCTCTCTGACACATAAATAAATAACATCTTAAAAAAAAAATGTTCATTCTTTTCAGCACTGAGAATTTTCAAATGAATTACATCTGGTAATTTGGTATATCTAATTTATAAGTTTACCTTTAAATAAGACAGTTTTGCTAATTTATATAAAGTCTCCTGAATAACTGTCTCCCTTTTTATCCTTCATTTATTTCAGTCTCACTTGCTCCCAAACACTCCATTTCTATTGTACCACGCCTTGGTAGTCAGAATACACATTGTTGAAAAAACATTTTCAGAACAGATATATTCATAGCACGCTTTTTACTGAATAAACAACAATCAAAGATAAAGCAACTTAAAAATCTTAGCTGTAGAGAATATTGGATATCATTCCTTAAGGACTTTATCACCTAATATTTGATTGCCTCATAAAACTCGCTAAAAAAAAAGCTGTCACGAGGAATCAAGATTTCGCATTGGGGGGAGGGGGGGAGTGTCAAATGTACGTACTGCAAAACACTTTACAATCTGCCAAAGTTTTGCGATGTGATAACGATAGAGGTTTGACTCTCAAAAACGTCTTTTTGAAGAAAAACATCCCTTAATTTTAGATAAAGTACAAAGGGATCACATAAAGAAACACATAAAACGAGGACTTGGAAAACCTTAATATCCCAGAATATTAAAATCTGGGAAGAATCCACAGTCCCCACCTTCCTATCAAATTTATGAATTCTACATACAGTATTGCCAAGGAAGGAAGGAAACTAGCAATTTAGCACTTATCTTTTATATAGCTGGCATTATTTGAGTCACTTACCATAAATCTGCCTACTTCGTTTCTTATAAAAGCCCTGTATCTGTAACCCTAACCCAGAGCTGAAGCAGGTGTTCACACAGAGACCTGAGACTGGATATGGAGCAATCCAAAGTCCACACTCCTTCCACTACAATGCCTGTCCTGGGTCTCTCAGCAAGCTCCACTTCCTTCCCTTCTGACTTTACACAACTTTCTATAGCAAATTGACATCAGGAAACATGGTCATTTAAATAATACAATGGTGTTTTAAAAAAAAAAGTCCAATAAAAATTTAGCACCATTATGATGTTTCCTGTTATAACCAGACCTCTTCTGATTAGTTTCAAGTGAGTGATAAGAAAGTTCTGAGGCAAAATTTTTTAAAAGAGCAGAAACAGTGAAGAGAAATTACGAAGAAAATATGACTCAAAAGAGTATTGAGCTGGGGTGGAACCAGGGACAGAGTAAGAAAGAGACTGACCAAAGACATCTGAACTATCCATCAGAAAAAATACTAGGTGAAAAGCAAAATTTTGATCTCCTTGAAGGAAGGCAAAGACTAAAAGACAGAGTAGGATTCCAAATTCCCAAACTGTTCTTTGTGTGTTATTAATAAAGCCAAGAGTGTTTAAGTCTAGTTAATATTTGTATTGATTATCTCAAAAAGAGATTTGGCCTAGGAGAAATAAATTATATTTTTACTTAACAGAATGTATTAGTTTAGGTCAAATGTTTTTAACTAATTACCTGATAAGAGAAGATGCTGATCAGATCTAGTTCTATTTCTTCAAATACAGAGGCTACGGGTTAAACACTGGCTAAATAGTTACAAAAATGGCTTCTGTTTCGTACTGCTGGCTTGCCTACCTTGGAACCTGCCCCTGTAATGTATCAGTCCACTTGAAATTTTGAATATATCGTAACTTGCTTTCTTGGGTAGATTCATCCAATGAATTTATGAAACCTGTAAAAAGGTACAGCATTTCAGTTTTAGAAGAAATATCAAGTATTCTGTTTAGAAATTTTTTCAGATAACGACTTATCCAGATACCTGAAGAAAACTCTTAGCCCCTCTATCCCTTCTTTACCACATCTTCTTCTAAGGTAACATAATATGAAGTATGTACACATTTAATTTTCAAAATGTTAGAAAGACCAAAATCACCCTAACATTTCTCACATTTCTGAAACTCAAGTACTGAGATCAAAGAATACAGACCAGAAGACTAAATTATTCAAATTTGAAAAGCCTAAGAATTAAATGTGAATTTCTACAAAGCTGTTAAGTTCTCATAAATAACTAACCTTGTAAAAGTGAAAAATAGGAATCTGATGCATTCTTCATCATTTCTGGATTACAGCTCAGATCAGTGAAGAGTTCAAGCAGTCGTGCTCTGGATGATCTCAAGTCACTTACAGGAGACAGAAATAGTCAAGAAATTTAAGTAAGCTGCATTGTGATGAATCTATGTAAAAGTGGCTTAAAAGTGTCCATTGTAAAAAGCTTTCAGATAACACAAACACACACACACACACACACACACACACACCTCCTTGAAGGGTTTACTAAGGTATACACAGGATAAACTTAGTTAAGACTAACACTGAGGTAAGTGAAATTCTAGTAACAACTGTTTTACAAGTGGTACTAAAATAAACTCAGTCTCATCTAAGGGGCAAATCATGGATATAATTATGTAATAACAATATACAGCAAGCTTTAATTAAAAAAAAAACAAATAAACACAAGCATGTAAGATGGGAGAAAGGAATTAAGAATGAGGAAATTAAACAGAGCAGTTCACAATAAAAGATATCTGAAAAATGGTAATTTAACATGCTTATGCATCTCCTTAAAATTTCAAACTTGACATTGTATCAATACACTTTATTAAGTAGGGAGCCCTATTTTTAAATTGCATCCTATAATTCAACATACACATCAAGAGCGTGTGAGAACACGTGGTTACTACTCATTTTGAAAAGGCTCCCTGGTCTCCATTCTCCTTTACTTCTTCCCAGCAATAAATGTTGCAGATCCACCATTTCCTTCTTGAAATTCTCTTCTCCCTTTATTCCACTAACATTAAATTTCCCAGGATCTCCTATTATCTCTAAAAGTTCCTTAAAATGTTTAGTCTTTGGCTTTCTGCCTTTCTTCCTTTTGAGGTCTTAACATCTTTACACCCAATCTGAGAGCTACCTCATCAGCTCCAACTTGGTCGGCTTCCAGTTCCACATCTAATTTCAGAAGGCAACTTGCTTAACGAGGGCTCAGAAATTATTCTGCAGGACAATGATTGAAGACACTTGCATGTAAATGATTAATGAAAGACTACACTTCGATTGTTAGCACCAAGAGACTTGGGACTGTACATCCAGAACTTAGTAGGTCCTGAGGATAAAGGACACACTCAAAGTTCTCTGTTGAATGAAAGAATACTAACATTTCAAATATTTTAAGACTTACAAGGCCTATCATGTAGCAGTGATGTTTAGAAGAAAGTGCAGACTTCATTTTAAATGGTCTGGGTGGAATGTTTACTCACTGGTACAAGTTCCATGAAGGCTTATTTCAAGAAAGTACATACCAACACTTACATACAGATTACCAGAAATGGGATGGGCTACCTTAAGAATTTGTCATTGTTGAGTTTTTTAACTAGAAGCTAGGCAAGAGTAATTCCTGGACCAGAAAAAAAGCTGAATTGTTAAGGCCTATCCTAGGCTCAAATAGTTTGGTGTTTATTTCCGGGGAGGCACTCAATCATCTGCAACCCAACTGTATAAAGTTATACTCACCTTAAAATTAAAGAATTTCAGAAAAAAAAAGTACTTCAGAAATGTCTGTTTTAGGCTGTTCATTTTATAGATGAACAATGAGACCCAGAGAAGTTAAGTGACTTGCCCAGTATTACAGATAAAACAAGCTGGGACCAACCTCTGTGAGTTTAAGATTAGGAGTTAGCAAATGACATATAACTTGTTTTGAACATATAGCTTGTTTTGAACGGCTCTCAGCTTGTTTTTATAAAAATGAACAAATAAGAATATGCCAACGGCAGCTGTATATAGCCCCACGAAGCCTAAAATGTTTACTACTCAGCTCTGCACAGAAGTTTGAGGACTTCTGATCTAGATAAATAAGCCAGTTTTCCTATCTTTTGCTCCACTCCTTCTTTCCATAGAAAGTAGCAACACTCTCAATTTTCCATTACTGGTGCCATCAAGGTCTTGATCATCTAGGTTCTGTATTTCATACAGACTGAATCCTTTTCAACTTCCCAGAGCAAATTTCTGAACAGTTGACTCCTCCTTTGAAATATCTCTTTTGTTCTGATCTACTCACTACCCCAGAATAACATTTTTCTGTAAGAAATTATCTTCTTCTATCACTTCTTACAATCTAAATCAAGCATTAGCAAACCTTTTCCATAAAGAGGCTAAAAGTAAATATATGAGGCGCTGTGGTTCATAAATTCTCTGCTGATACTACTCCGCTCTGCTGTTGTAGAGGAAAGCAGCCAAAGGCAGCCAGAAACAATATATAAATGGTGTGAGATGACATGGCTGTGTTCTAATAAAACTTTATTTATAAAAACAGGCAGTAGGAAAAATCTGCAGGACAGTTCGCCAACTCCCAAACTGAGCCATAAACTCCAACTCAAGTCCCTTCTCCTATATGAACACTGCAAAGCCTATTCCAGCTTACCGGACTCTCTCCCTGCTCAGAACTCCATGAATTTATGATCTGGTTAATTAAAATATCCATATACAGCTTTGTGAAGTCTCTTGTACTGTTTTAATATATAGCTTAACTCTTTTATTGTGTTTGTTTTAGTCTCTCTGGGACTCACTAATCTAAAATTTAGGGCTGCAGTCTAGAAGGCTGCCAAACTTTAAATAATCTATTATTTCACTCTTCACAAGTCATTTGTAAGTTTATAAGGACTCTAAGGACAGGGCAATGTGCTACACACTTCTGTATTGCCCATGAAACCTAAATTAGTACCTTGTATCCAAAGTGGCTCAAACAATACTTGCTGAGATTGACTAAAACTAACCTGCAAATTTTTGAAGCAGCAGGGCCAGCGGCTACACCATAGTAGTTAAAAGTGACAGGAGCTGTGGCTTTTAATGGGTTCCTATGAAACCAATGTGTCATTTTCTCCAGCTGTTCCCTATAAATATAAAAGGAGATGTTTAAAAAATAAAAATAAAACATTGACTAACATAAACAGTATAAAAACAATTAAAAATTTACTAAGAATATATGTATGCATTTTAAAGTGTGTGTGTATATATATATACATATACACTATATATATGAGTAAGACATACACAGGTACAAATGACTTTTAATTAGACTGCTAAGGCTACTTTAAATAAATAGGTTTTAAATTAACTATATTTCCAACACGGTGTTGCTGATGCCAATTTATTGGTTACAGCATGTGTTTCTACAATAAATACACTTTCCACAAAACAGTAATAAGCAGAATTTTCATGAATAAAAAAATCACAGTACTTGACCAATAATTTCTATCCTATACACCCAAAATATTTGAAAAACTACCTAAGTGAAATGCCAACTTAAAAAATAGTCTCAAGGGCTTCTGGGTGGCTCAGCTAGTTAAGTGTACAACTCTTGGTTTCCACTCAGGTCATGATCTCAGGATCCTGAGATCCAGCCCTGAGCTGGATTCTGCACCGAATGTGGAGCCTGCTTAGGATTCTCTCTCTCTCCCCTGCATGTAGGCTCTCTCAAATAAATAAATCAACCATTAAAAAAAAAAAAAAAAAGTTAAGTTCTACCCCTTTTTGGTTTAAAAAAAAAAAAGCATATCACTTGCCTAATAGTCCTTAGGAGATAATGCAAACAGAAAGGCCCAGCGGAACACTTAAGTGTGGCAACTAGTTCTGGGAAATCATCCTCAAGAAAAACTGATAAGGTTTAATTAACTTAAAGGCATTATACAAAAACCGTGGGCTGCACCGTGAAAAACCTCCTGGAGCACCTCCTTTAAAATATTCACCTATTCCTGAAAAAACCGATTTGGGAGAGCACCAGATACTCAATGCATTGTATATGTGCTGCGGAAGCGAGCACTACTCAATGCACTGTATACTCAATGAAAAACTGGGTTCACTTATGGCTCAAAACATTTACGTTCTTTTAAGAACATATATAATCTTCTAAACATCCATGTAAACCAATTTTATAACATAAGTAAATTAATACTGCTTGTACGTGCACATACGTCAAGCCTTCTCGAGATAATGGCACACCGTACACTTGACTTTGAGGCAGTAAATTTTCTACCAATAATACCCTTTTCAGGTGGATCTCCACTTCCCGGATGAACACGTCCGCAGTTCTGTACATCCTGACTTCGGGAACGAAGAGGGTAAGTACTGCACTGTCCGCCCCGGCCCCACCTTGCCTCTTTCTGAGACCTGCCACTCGCGTTTTCAGGAATTCGGAGAGAGAAAAGCGACACACCCAGCCGCAGGTGCAAGGTGCCCTGAGAGCCAGCAGCACCACGGTCGGATCAAAGCTGCCACCTCCCCTGCCTCCGATTACTGACAGGGGCCCCCCACTCGCGAGGCCGGGGCCGCCCATACACCTACCTGCAAGCCACCCCAGAGCTCGGAGCGCCCACTTCCTGTTTACCGCCCAGCCTCTTCCTCCTGAGCCCCAAAGCTGGAGGCGGCGCGCGGCGACCCTGCGCAGGCGCCAACCCTGGCAGCCCCACATCCGAACAGGCATTTTCTTGGAAAGCCGATGCTTTCCACCCGGGGTGGCGGCCGCACAGCGGCCGAACAAACCCGTTTAGTTTGTGAGATCCCTGGCGACCAATGGAGACGCCGGCAAGGGTATTCGGTCGAGTCCAGCTGTTAATACGACCGACTCGCGGGGCCAACATGCATTTTCTTTCTTTCGTTTGTTTCAAGGCCTTAGAAGGAGACTTTTTTGGATCACTATCCGGGAGTCTGTGGAGACTGAAAACGCGTGTAAAAGTCGGGCGGGGCGGGGGGGGGGGGGACCCTATCGCTTGGGACTCCAGGATAACGCCAAGGGTAGGCGTGTTACTGGGAAACGCCCATTCTCATGACAAACTTACCGGATTTGTCAGAAATCTGTGTAGTAGTCCTCCTCGGGGAAGAAAGGGAATGTCCAAGTCCGCAAACGAGAAAGGGAGGGAGGCGGAGAGTCAGGAGAACCGGAGCGACGGGCAACCAGGCCTGCGCGGAGGCGGGGTCACGTGGCCCGGGCCGCCATGACAGCTACCGAGGCGGCAGTACGCGCTGCTTTGGGGCGGAGGCTCCGCGTGTTGCGGCCCCGTCGGAACGCTCCGTTTCTCAGCCCTGTCCTAGTTACTTTTCCCCAGTCTTTAATCGTGAGCTGCACTCTCTTTTCCTGAGAGGAAGAGACAATGCGGCCGGGACTCCCAAGCCGAGGAAGAAGGCCGCAATAGCAATGGCGGCCCTCGCCGGGAGCGGGGCGGCCTCAACCTAACGCGGGGCGGGGCCTCAGGGGCGGAGCCTCGGCAGGGCGGCCGCTTCAGAGCCGCAAAGTTTGGCTGTGGCGGCAAATGGGCTTGGGCGGCTCCTCGGCGGGTGGCGGTGGTGGCCGTAGCGGTTCCTCCTGGCCCTGTTAATGTCGGGGCCAGGCCCGGGGAGGATGGCGCGCTAGAGCCCGGCCTCGCTGGGGTAGGGGCGGGAGGGGACGGGGTGGGCACCGGCCATGTCGGAGGTGACCCGGAGTCTGCTGCAGCGCTGGGGCGCCAGTTTTAGGAGAGGCGCCGACTTCGACTCTTGGGGCCAGCTGGTGGAGGCGATAGACGAGTATCAGATGTGAGTGACTAACCGCGGGAGCGGGCCAGCCGGGCTCCGGTCGGCCGCCTCCCCCTTTCTTCTGTCGGTGTCTCTTATCGTATCCCCAGGGTGGGGCCCCCGAAGGCACTGGGGCTGGGATCGCGCTGGCCCCGGACGCGCTGCCCTGGAGACTGCAGCCCGCTCGCTGGGCTTTCGCGCCCCTCTCTCCCTCCGCCGCCACGGGGTCAGTTCCATTCAACAGGTAGCCCCCCTCTCCGGGGGCGCCCGCCCTAGCAGGCTGCCTCTGTCGTTCCCGTCCCCCGCTCTGCAGTCGGATTCCTTCCCTCCTTTCCTTCGCCTCTCTCAGGTTGCTGCCGCTCCGTTTCTCTTCTAGAATCTCTGAGGGATACTTGTGTGTTCCCCGCCCACGTTCCCGGGATGAGTGGCCTTGCTCTCTGCGGTGCCTTCCTCCTCGCATGTGTAGGACAGGAGGGAACTGGTGGCGCTTGAGGGGAGGGGGCGCCCCCAGGAAGCAGCGGGGACAGGGGCGCCTCGCCCGCCAAGGGAAGGGTCCCCTCTGGCGCCCCTTCTCCACCCCTCTTTCGGATGAGCCCTGTTTTCACAATTCACCTCGATTCCGTTTCGGTTTCTGAGACTGTTATTTGCTTGGCTGTGTGAGTCCCACCCACCCCCTCGCTCGGTGGCTTTGGGTGGAGTCCGCGCAGGATGTGAACAGAAGAGAGCGAACTGAATTAATGGACCACGCACGGGAGCCACCACTCCCTCTCTGGGTCCCTCCTCCTTGTCCTGTGTGTAATGTATAGCCGCAGGGTACTTTGTGAGTACCCGTTTCTTTGATCTTTGACCCGAAGTCCCAATTTCTTATTGCCTTTCTGGCAACCCCCCCAAAACACTTAAGGGGGGCTTTTTAAGTTAAAAGACAAGATTTACGTCGATATAAAACCTTGCTGGGGCATCGGGGTGGCTCAGTGGATTAAGCTTGGGCTCAGGTCATGATCTCAGGATCCTGGGATCGAGCCCCACGTCAGGCTCTCTGCTCAGCAGGGGGCCTGCTTCCCCCCCCTTCCCCTCTGCCTGCCTCTCTGCCTACTTGTGATCTGTCAAATAAATAAAATCTTTAAAAAAAAATAAATAAAACCTTGCTTAATTTCTTGCACCTTTTACTGAAAAATAAGAACCGTCTGCTAAAATGCTATTGTTTGCAAACTGTTGCCATGAATTACTTCTTGGTTAAAAGCAAGTTATTGTTTTTACTTGGTGTTACTGGTGTTACTGAGTGTGAAACCCTGTGAGTAAAATCTACCTTCCCCCCCCCCCCCCATCCCCACCCCCGTGTCCTTGAGTGTTGGAAACTTTAAATTCTATTTCCTTTCCGTACAATAGTTTCTTGTTTTTAATCTGACCATTAAGATAATTCAAATGTGCAGATGTTTTAGACCCGAAGGTACTGACTTGTAGTTTCAAAGAGCCGTGAAAACAACGGTGCTCTGGGCCCTGTTGCCAAGTATAACAAGTACTAGCTCTGTCTTGCGTCTTCGCTTGATTTCACGCACTCCTACAACTACTTAGTGAGAACATTACTCTGATTTTACAAAATGAGGAAGCTGAAGCTCAGGTTAAATAAATTAACAGGGGGGTCATAAAGCTACCGCTGAAATCTGGGATTTTTTTTTTTTTTCTAACTCCCAAATCCTGACTGCTGTACTACATAGTACTTAGCACGCTTTATTTAAATGCCTGGTGTATGTGTATTGGACAAATGAGGAGGTTTCCCTCGTTACCAGGGAACATGTCTTATCCTTAACGAAGCTAGTGAGCACCTGTGTACACTCATTCTGCGGCTTCACTAGAATCACATCCCCTGAAATGTAAAGCTGCCTTCACTTGTCATGCGGTGGGACTTAGCAGCTGTTGGCACTCAGCAGCGGACTTCACAATGGAAAGTGAAGAATACCATGTCCAATTGAAATTACAAAGGAAAATTGAGTATGCAAGCTGTTGAGCTGGAATTTCTAGAAACATCTCAATGAGAGTAATAGCCACATACAAATCCATTGTTGGGCCACGGTACTAACCTTTGAACTTCATGATTCAGAGAAGTTCTCAAATTATAAGAACTGCTAGTGTCGGAGGAGTAACGATTGGCTAAAATTTTGTGAATCCATAGGCTACATATCAAATGAGGTTGAGTTTAAAATTAATATATTAAAAAAATGAAGACAAATTGTCTTTTTTATTTCAGTTATCTGGGAGGAAATGTTGCAGAAAAGGAGATCATTTGGGGGCCACTAAATACTCTAAAAAAGAATGGACAGCATTTAGTGACTGGATGTTGAGAATGAAGGAGGAAGAGTCTAGGATAATTGGCATTTCTGGTTGGGCAGCAGGGACTTTATGGTCTTGCAACACAGAGGGAATTTATGGGAGTGGAGATGTTGGGGAGGAAAGAAACATGTTTGTACCGTCATGATGTAAGTAGAATACTATCGCTTAAACAATGTTTTCTTTCAGTGATAAGAGCAGGAGATGTAAAGATGTATAAGATTTGATTCCCACCTTCAAAGCCCGGAGAGTCTAAAGGAGGATTTTAAAGTAAATGGGTTTTGCTATTACGGAGTAGAAAAAGAGTATGTGCTACCTCACTGCTTGCTGATTCCAGGAGCATGCTTCTGCCTTAGGGCTTTTGTACTTTTTCTGGAACATTCTCTCATTATCTGCTTAGGTCCTCAGTCACCTCCTTCAGGTCTTTGTTCAGATATTATCTTAGTGCGTTCCTCTCTGGCTACCTTATTTAAAATAGTGAAACCTGTTATCCACCCAACTCCCTCTACCTCAGTCTTCCACATCCTAACCATCCCCCTGCCAATCCTGCTTAATTTTTTTCATAGAATTTATCACCATCTAAAATACAATATATTTTACATATTCATTTGGTTTATTGTCTCTCTTCCCACTTGAATGTAAACTCTGAGAGGGCAGAGTTGGAGGTGTTCTCTTGTTCTATGTACATCGTGTCCTAGTGAAGCTAGGCTATTATTAAATAATTGTTTACTTAGATACTATATGTTGTATTCTTTTGAATGAATATGGATTCGGAAGTATGCGGTGGGAGCATTGAGTTGATATTAAAGTGCTGTTGGAAGATTTACACAAATATGTCAGAATTAGAATCGCTAGCCAAGATATACCTGGTCACTTAAAAACAATTCCATGAAGCAGGCCAGCTCTTTCAGCAGTCTGGGGATACATGACCCCAGACTTCCATTAGAATGGCATGGACTGTGTTGCTCAGAATCAGGTGGTTTGCAGGATCAGTGCTGAGGTATTAATCTGGCACACGTATGCTCAATCAATACTTGTTAAATGAATGAGTTTGAAGACTGAATAATCCTTGCTTTAATCATCTTTATTAATGCCTTCAACAGTGCTACTCAGAGTGGGTCTACAGAGGGGTGCTGGTCTGCAGTGAGGTAAAGGAATTGAGATTGAAGATTTAGAAATTTAATAGCAATTGGACATCTTCTTAAGAGTTTTTATGTTTTAGAGAAGTATTAGCTTGGAACAGATTGGGGAAACTAGTCCTTCACTACAGATCGTTTGAGAAGCACTAATTTCTGTTGTGGATTGTTGTGGGGTTTCCTTCAGTCACTTGTTTTTGTGTTCAAGTTTATTTTCAACTCCCTCTTGAGAGTAGTGCTGTTTGACCAGGAGGCATCCTTGTGAGAGGAGACTCTTCTCCAGAGAATATTTGAGAGGTTTCTTGCCTTTCCCAGTAGAGTGTCAATTCTTTGAGCTGCTCCTCTAATATCCAGAGCATGTGCGTTTTTCCTCAGTGGCCAAAATCATGTCTCACTTTGTCTTAAAATGGTGCAATCATTTATGGATTTAGAAAAATTTTTTACACAGGTCTTTTAAAAAGTTTTTAAAAATAGTATAACTTCTATACCGTGGAATTCACCCATTTTATATGTACAGTCCAGTTAATTTTTAGTCGCTTCACCAAGTTGTACAACCATCACTATAATCAAATTTTATAACATTTCCATCACCCCGCAAAAGTTCCTTTGTGCCCATTTGCAATCACTCCATATTCCTGCTTCAGCCCTAGGCAACCACTCATCTATATTCTGTCTCTTAAGATCTTGTCTCTTCTGGATATTTCATGTAAGTTGAATTATGTAAATTGTGGTCTTTGGTATGTGGCTTCTTTGATTTAGCCTGATGTGTTTGAGGGTCTTCCATGTTGAACGTCTATCAGTGCTTTGTTCCTTTTTACCACTGAATAGCGTTGCGTTGTATGGATATACCGCATCTGTGTGTCCTTTCTCTAGCTAAGGGACTTTGAAGTTGTTTCTCCTTTTTTACTATCATCAGTAATGTTGTGAACATTCACATGTCTTTGTGAGCACATATATTTTCATTCTTTTTGGGTAGATACCAAAGAGTGGAATTTCTGGTTGCTGTAAATTTATGTGTACTTTTTGAAGGAAACTGCCATATTGTCCAGACTGTACAGTTTTACATTTCTACCAGCAGCGTATCAGAGTTACTGTTCTCCATCTTGATGGCATTTGTCACTGTCTTTTCTAGCCGTTCTAGTAGGTGTATAATGTACTTAACTATATTTTTAATTTGCCTTTCTCTTATGACTGATGATGCCCAGCATCCTTTCTTAGGCTTATTTTCCCTCTGTAAATCTGGTTCGGGAAATGTCTGTTCAAATTTTTTGCCCATTTTTTAATTGAGTTGTTTCTCTTTTACCTCTTAAGTTTATAAGGGTTCCTTATGTATTCTGGGTACAGGTTCTTTATCAGATACATGATTTGCCAATATTTCCTCCCAGTCTGTTGCCTAATTTTTAAAAGCAGGATTCTGTTTGAACTTAACATCCTTGCCTGCTGACTATTATTAGCATTTGAGTGGTTTAGAGCTACCGTCTTTCTTCCAAGAGTGACCCTGCTTAAGTTAACAGTCGCTATTAGCATACTGTATGTAGAACTATTCCAATAAATATATTACATTATAACTTCCCTGATATTGGGGTTGTATAGTTGACATCATTAAATAGAGACTATAATTCCTAAAAGAGAACTTCACATAAGTGGTAGGCCAGCAAGAGTTAGAAACTGAGTGCAGAGCAAGGACAAGGATAATGGCTCTGTTTTTGTGTTTTCTTCTGTGTAGAATTCACGAAGAGTGGGTCTCTACATGACATCATAGGATAATGTTATGGGGGTTCTACCTTTGAGGTACAATAAATAAATGGATAGAAGCAGTTTAAGTAACATAATGGAGTCATTCCTGGCAAATGTCAATAATTTTTGGTAGGAGTTAGATTGGATGGACGCCATCAAATATAATGAACTTTACACCTGATCTTTGAAGACATGATTGCATAGAATAGAACTCTCATCTAAGACTTTTTTTGGAAACTCAGTGAACTGTCTTGCAGTGGGCTTGGTAGGAAATCTAATACTTGCTACCCTTTGCATTCTTGGTTTTATTCCCCACCCAGAATGGTATAGTATGCTTGAGAATTATGATTTTTAACTTCTTTTGCCAGTTATAAAATGTTTCACCAAAGAATCTCTCGATTCTTTGGGGTCTTCCCCCCCCCCACAAATTTCTAAAAATTGAGATAAATATCACATAAGATCTCTTATTGTAAAGTTGTACCATTTGGTGGCTCTAGTATATTCCCAGAGCCATCTGTGGCTCTGCATGGTTATGAAGCCATCACCGCCATCTCATTTCAGAACATTTCCATCACCCTCAAACCCCATACCTGCTATCAGTCGCTCTCAATTCCTTCCTTACCCAGCCCCTGGCAACCACAAATCTGCTGTCTCTGTGGACTTATCCATTCTGGACATTTTGTGTAAATGGAATCATATGTGATTTTTTTTTTTGCATCTGGTTTCTTTCATTTAGCATAATGTTTTTGAGGTTCATCCGTGTTGTAGCATGTTTCAATCTTCATTCCACTTGCTGCCAAATCGTATTTCGTTGAGTGGATTCACTACATTTTGTTGATTCATTCTGCAAGTTGATAGACATTACGGGTGTTTCCAGTTTGAGCATCCGTGTACAGGTTTTTTTGTGTGAGCATGTTTTCAATTCTTGGACTATACCTAGAATTTTGAAATTGCTGGGTTATATATATGGTAACTCTATGTTTAACTTTTGAGGAACTGCCAAACTGTTTTCCACAGCGACTGCATTATTTTACATTCCTACCAGCACTGTATGAAGGTTCCAAATTTTCCATATCCTTGCCAACACCATTATTTTTTTCTCTCTTTTTAGAAATTGTACTAGTGGGTATGAGGTGGTATCTCATTGCGGTTTTGATTTGTATTTCCCTAATGACTAATGATATGATATTCATGTGCTTATTGACCATTTTTATATCTTCTTTGGAAAAATGTTCAAGGGGCACCTGTGTAGTTCAGTTAGTTAAGTGTCTGACTCTTGGTTTGGCTCAGGGCATGATCTCAGGGTCATGAGATCAAGCACCGAGTCAGGCTGTATGCTCAGAGGGGAGTCTGCTTCTCCCCTTCCTCCCCTTCTCTCTCTCTGTGCCCCTCCCCAGCTCTCTCATTCACTCTAAAATAAATAAATCTTTTTTTTCTTTTAAAGTTCAAATTCTTTTTCCATTTTTAAATTATTTGTCCTTTTATTGTTTCATTGTAAGAGTCAGTCTTTTTTAGTTTTTATTGTCTCAGGATGAGCTTTGGGGATGCCTGCATGGGTCAGTCAGTTAAGTGTCTGCCTTCAGCTCAGGTCATGATACCACGGTCCTGGGATGGAGTCCCGGCATTGGGCTCCTTGCCTGTTGGGGAACCTGCTTCTCCCTCTGCCTCTGCCCCTCCCCTTGCTTGTACATGCACGCTCTCGCTTTCTCTCTCTCTCTTTCTGTCAAAATAAATAAATAAAATCTTTTAAAAAAAAAGAGAGAGAGAGGGAGAGAGAGCGAGCTTTCGATCCTTACTGTTGAGTTTGGACTAGTAACACAGATCCATTCTTGAAAACTCATCCAAGGCCTAGCTGCTATTTTTAAGAATGATAATTGGACAAACAATGATTTTCATGTCTGATTGGTGGAAGATTTTCTTTATTTTTCATGAAAAATATTTTGAAAAGCATAATTTAATAGACTTATCATTTTGTCATGGGTGTTATTTGGACTAATCTTATCAGCAAATTAATGATAGACTGATAAAGTTTCTCTGGCTGGTACTATGACCGGTGCTCACTGGAAGTGTCTAAGCAAAATCTGGACAACTGCTTTTTGGCTTGTTAAAGAAGAAATTCATGCATACTGAAGAAAGTTGGATTAGTTGCCGCTTGAGATTCTTTCCAGCTCTAAGATTCTGTTTTTACTGCCTAGAGCTGAAATTTGTCCCAGTGCAATGGTATAAAAAGTATTATATCTTTTTGTTGTTGTTGTTTTTTAAGATCTTATTTATTTGACAAAGAGAAAGAGGCAGGGAGAGAGGGAACACAAGCAGGGGGAGTGTGAGACGGAGAAACGGGCTTCCTACCAAGCAGGGAGCTTGATGCGGGGCTGAGCCACCCAGGCGCCCCAAAAGTACTATATCTTATTTTCATTTTTGTTGTATAGAGTTTGATTCTAAACATAATGTAGATTTAGACTTTGAAAGCACAGCAAAATATTATGATACTTCATTGTTTCTTTTACAAGATTTAAATTATTTCATTATTGCACTTGAGATAGTTTGCTTTCCTTCAGTTCTGAAGAATGTATTGTTTTCTTCTTACAGATTAGCAAGACATCTACAAAAAGAGGCCCAAGCTCAACACAATAATTCCGAATTCACAGAAGAACAGAAGGTACTATAAAATAATCTCTACATATTATCAGATTCCAAATGAAAAAGATTGTCTTCTAAGCCATTAAGCAAAAACAGCAGAAACTTATACTTAAGTACAAAAAAATGACATTATTATGCTTTGGGGAACATAGAGTGATCGCTGAGGTAACACATGATTTACCAGTTAGTGACTTTCTCACTTGATGAATTTCTCGACTCAGACTTAAACTTCAGTGGAGACTGTCTATACTCTTTGGGAGAGGGGTAGATTCCAGAGGCTCAAGTTTGACTGTGAGTAATTCTGTCCAACTTCAATACTTTTTAACTCTGAATTTTCTTAACCCCTCTTCCTCCTCTCAAAACAAACACAAAGCTAAAAAAAAAAAAAACCCAAACAAAATCCCCCAAAAGCCATCACTGAAAAAAAATTAATAATAAAAAATAATTTTTTAAAAAATAGTTCAAGTCAAGAATTTGGCATAAGAATCCATCAGCAAAATAAATGCATAAAGTTGCAAAATGTCTCAGTGGTGCCCTTGAATTAAGATTTTAACATGTTGGAGTCGATGCCCTGGACTTTTAGAGATTATAAAAAGTGGGATACTTTAAGAAGCTTTGCTTTCAAAGAATGAGAAGAAACAGGAAGAAGCAAGTCCCATTTTTTCCTGGCTCAGAGTATCTAGTGTTAAGTCAAATTTTAATCTTGTAGATAATGAAAAAAATTACTGTTGTCAGTTTTTCCATCTCTTAAGAAAAGACACTGAAAACTGTAGTGACTTAATTTGTTTTTATTAATCCTTTTTCTGTACAAGGGGTGGGAGTGGTTTTCTGTGTGCATTTTAAGAAAGTCTAAAATTTATTTTAGTCCTTTTCTTATATTCATTTGACTCTTATGTATAGGGGTTTGAACAGATAAAAACACCAAAGATTAGGGTTAGGATATTTCTTACACAAGTCAGTATATTTGCATCTTAAAAATACTTAGCATCTACATCACCTATACTTTTTTTTTGTATTTAGGAAACACGTTATTCCAATTTATGGGTGCATTTTTCTTTTTTCCTTTACAGTTGTTAATGTATGCAGTAGATAGAGGAAATTTAGTTTTAATTGTTACAGAGGAAATGATTGGTTTGCTCGAGGAAAGGAACAAAGACTATATGCTTTATCTCCTATAAAATACGTGAACTCTAGGAATTGATTAGAAAGTGATCAGCTGGGACACCTGGGTGGCTTAGCCGGTTAAGTATCTGCCTTCAGCTCAGGTCATGATCCCAGGCTCCTTGCTCAGCAGGGAGTCTGCTTCTCCCTCTGCCTGCCTCTCCATCTGCCTGTGCTCACTCTCTCTGTCAAATAAATAAATAAAATCTTAAAAAAAAGTGATCAGCTGACATCACAAAATTAATTTGAAACAATCTCAAATATTTGAGTATGCAAATTAATAGCTGACAAACTTATGAATATGGAAACAGCTGGAAGCTTAGGGAATTTTTTAAAAGTTTCATGACCCCCCTCCCCCATACTTGAATCACCTGTTCTCCTGGTGTTACTTCCATGCTTTGTCATCAGCACCTTAGGACCTCTGAGCAACGTGACCTCAAATAGTAGGTGAGTTCACTTGAAACAAAGCAAAATTTTTTAAATGCTGTCAAGAAATGAGCTTTGTCATACAATGATTAAACTAACAAGAAAAAATAAACTTTTTCTTAATTTTCTTTAACTTTCTAAGGCTGAAGCAACCTGATGTTTGATAATGTTCTTTATTCTTTAATTTATAACTTCCTCAGCAGCCACTGATGCTACCTTGTTTTTAGTTTACACAGACCCACGGGTCTTATACCCCATAAGGCCTGGGAGGCAGCATGACCTAGGGGAAAAGCCTGAGATCTGGAGTCAGACGACTTGGTCTTGAATCTGGGTTCTGTCCCCTGGCCCTAATTTCCTTACGTATGAAATGAGGGATTAGATAACCCTGCATGATCTTCACTCTATCTTCTAATGACTTATACCTTTGAAGTTTTCTGTACCTCTTCCTTTCCTGGAGGCCTGATTTTGGAGGTATTTGTTATTTATAATACCTGCCTAGGGGGCATTTGTGGCTCCTGCTTGTGACTATAGAAAGAGCTTGTGCCTGCCTATTCCTTGAGCTTGGAGAAGGACCCCCAAATCATTCTGTACTACATTAGGAACATAAGGCAAGTTATATGCATTTACAAATTTAATTTTCTTTTAAAATGCAGGTGAAACATTCACAGTGGGCCAAAAAACTCATACTGACCTATAGACCTTATTTTTGAATGTCACACAAGGAAAAAGTTAGAGGCTCCAAGTTAATGATTAGGAAACAAAGATTTCTCAGATATGATTTGGAGGAACACTGCCCCTGAAAAATGAATAGATGTTATTTGAACAGAGAGTCTGTGACTTGTCAGGGCTTTTAATATGCTAATGTATATGTTGAATTTTTTTTTAAAGACTTTGGTAATGGAGTGTTTCTTAAATTTGTTTGCTTTTGGAGGCTCCCCCCTCCCCTTATAGAACACTCATTGGGTCTAATGTTCTGAAGAACATGTTATAGGATATTTCGAAACCAACTGTTAGGTCTGCAAAATTAATTGAATGCCAGACCTGGCGCATCAGCCAAAGGCCAAAGAAGAAGAAACTCAATTTCGTTTTCCTTAAAAAAGGGGAAAATGCAGAATATACGTTATATTATTCTAAGCAAAACTGTTCTTTATGTTTTCTATTTTGAATTACATTTTTTATGCTTTTTGCTATTCTCAATGTTTTTACAGCAGTGACAAATCTTAGAATTATGCTAACCATTCATAGTTTGTGGGACTACAAAAAAATTTTTTAAAAAACAACCAATATTTCTTTATGAGACTTTTTACTGTCTGGCTCACAATAAGCTTTAAAAAATAGTTGATGAATAAATGCTTTGTTGGGTCTTAGGTTACTGATATGTATCCATATAAATTATTTAAGATCAAAGAAATATTAATTTTTGAGAAAATAGTATATGTATCTTAGTATTTATTTTAAATCTAAACTCTAGAGCAGAACTACCGATCTCTCTAAACTTTATTAATTAGTGATTTTTAAAAATCTTCATGTGGATTTGCTATTCATAATATTCTCAAAGATTTCTGGTGGAAAGTGAGAAAGTTTAGGATTCTTGTTTGTTCCTCCCTCGCGATTCATTGACTTAGCTTCCATTTCAACCCTCAATAGTTTTGTCATTATAACAACTGGGTTTAGTGGCCAGAGAATAGCTGCCAAAAGCTTTCATTCCATTAAATTCTCTACTTCGGTGTCGTAGATTTTCTCATGTAAGTTTCTGGGCAGAATAGAACATCCTGTCTCATGATGCTTAGAAAGTTTTTCCTTGTTTTGAATCAAATTTGTAGTAATGAGAGTTCCAGCACTAAGGGCTTGTTTCCTATTTTATAGGATCCCCCTCCCCCTTTCCACCGTCTCCCCCGCCTTCCCCTTTTCCTCCCACCCCAGCCTCCCTCTGGCTGGAGGGTAGACGACTGGCTGTTTAAATAAAAAAAATCAAGTCTGGACTGAGACTGCACTACTTTATGTGTATTTTTTAGACTTCTTTTTCCATATGTAAATTGAATAAGTTTAAGCAAAATTAACTTGGCTCTTTGTCTGTTTTTATGCCATCTTCTCCTTAGCTGCTCTTTTTACTAATTTCCCTACCATTGACAAAATAACCAATATTCTGAAAACGAGGACATTTTCCATTTCTGTACCATATTAGGCATGAGCAGTTAATTTGAATGAGGTGCTAATAATTTAAATCTTTTAAAACTAAGCTTCATTTACCTTCAGTGCTTAGTCTTAATGTACATTAGTTAATAGTACTTATATGGGGACACAAGTGACCTTGTGCTGCTTAGTCATTTTTCCTGACTGTTTGTTTCTAAGAAAGGTGACACGGTTACAGTAGCAAGCACTTGATTTTGACATCAATAAATACTACATGTTTTTTAAAAGTCATTGCTGCAGCTGAAAATGATAGTGCTCCGCTCCCTTTTTAATACTGATGTTGGGTGTGGTCCCTTAAAGTAGTTATGAATAATGCCTGTTGGTATGTTGCCATGGTGCAGTAGATTCTGTGTAAAGAGCTGTTGGTTCTGCTGAACTTGCAGAAATGTTTAAATTTAAAATAGGTTATTAGCGGAATCGTAATTGTTCAACTGCATTTTACCTTAAATATTAACAGCCTCAAATCAAATGGATTTTAAACCAAATGGAAGAAAGGGAGTTAACTAATATTTCTAAAGACCCACTCATTGATACATCTCACTTAATACAGAATCTTTCCTAAAAAGCATTTTTAAAAGAACCTAAAAAGTATGGCCAAATGATATTAACACAAGTATATTGCTTTATTGTACATATGACTATTATATGTCTAGAAGACATGGATGTCTAGGGCAAGTTGCTTAACCTCTCTTCAGTTTTCACATAAATAAAATGATAGTCTCTAACTCAGGGTTATAATGAGGATTACATGAATTAATGCTTCTAAATCCCTTAGGAGAACTTGAGTACTCAAAAGCTGTTAACCATTACTCTATTATTATATGTATTTTTATGTTTTTATACATATATACAAATAAAACATAAATTTTATTTATACATATTTAAATCACCTAGTTTTGTCAGAGTTGAGTGGTATGTTTAAACAACAGTGAGATATTAGATTTGATGTAGAAAAGACTATTGCTGGTTCCTGTAGCATTAGCTGTTTGAGAGAGAAAATAAATATGAGATATCTCAAGTCCTTTTGAAGTTACGAAATTTAAATGTAATCTTTAAATGTAAGATTTCATAATAAAATTGGGTATTTTCTAAATGGTGATATTGGGCTTAAAAGAAAATTTTTAAAGATTGTGGAGATAGTTGGAGTGTTACTTGTTCCTTGGCCAAGGGTCCTGTGTTGCTCAGGAAAGGTGGGAGTCGGCTATACCAGCTGTTGATTGCCGATAAGATGATTGCATAGTGCCCACTCGCCTGAGTACCAGGGGCCAGGACAGTACCTGTTACACCTCTGTGCTCCTCATTTATCTGATAAAGCAAGTGGAAATCCAATTTACTAAACTTTTGCAAGTGATCAGTACATGTAGAAAAAAGCATTTCATTTTTTCCCAAGAATGTTTCTGTGATGAAGGCATTGCAAATATTGTACATAAATACTTGACTTCTATGGTCTGGATTTATTCTTAATAAAAACATAAGAAATACCCTTTTCTGGAAGGACTTAAAAATGTCAGTGGGCCTAATTCAGCTGCCTGCTCTTGTAGATGTTTCTTCTGTGGGTCTCCTCCTCTTTACTTCCACTCTAGTCATTCATGTTCTTGTTCTTATTCATGGGTACCTGCACAGCTGGAGTAGCCTGGCCGTTCTTGCCTGTGGTCTTTTCCCTTTTCTCCCCCAGCCTATGGAGATCATTGCCCTAATAGTCTTCCTAAAGGTCAAATCTGATCGCCACTCTTCTATTCAAAAACTTCTGTGCGATTTATTGCTAAAGTAATAACAGATTCCTCAGCTAGTCGTGGAAGGTCCCCTTCAGAAAGACCCCTGCTGTCCCCAGCATGTGCGCGCGTGCTTTCTCTCTCACACACACACACGCACACACGTGCGCGCGCGCGCACACACACACACACACACACACATACACACACGCTATCACTCCCTCAGTCACTCTTAACTTTTCAAACCTATATCCCTCTACTTTCACTTTGAGACTTAGGATAACTGAACCGTGACAGTTTTCCAAACTCTTCTGTTTTATAAATCCTCCCAGTCACTGGGGCTTGAGTTTTAACACAGAATCTTGCACTGTTTCTTCAGAACATATGTAATGGTTCACTTCGCTAAAGCTTATAAGAATCAAGTATCTCTTCTTTACATGACGGTGATTTTGTAGAGTCTCATGTCACATAATAGAACTTGAGCTTGTTAAAAGCAAGGACTATACCCTATCATTTATATTCCTCTTATAGCTCATCTAAGACAGGTCTGACTATAAAGCTTGCCACCATTCATCACAAGTATTGATTTTGCTGAGTATTACCTACATAATTAAGTAGACAAGTCAAGATTGGTCTTATATCAAAATTAAATGATACCATTTCGCTAGCTTTCAGATATTTTTAATTTTAAATCTTTTAATGAATTTTAGACCTAATCGAGATAAAGAGAAGACAAAACTTGGGAGGGAAGATGTTGGAAGTCCTTTTCATTGCCCTTTAAATAAATCTAAAGCTGTCATCAAAGCAAACTTGATTTAAAATTGGTCATGGTACATTTAGGTCAGGAGAGAATATAGACTCACATTCTCTCCCTTATCCTAGCCCTTTGTTTCCTGTTTCTCTTCTCTAAAATCTGCAAGATGCTCCACAGAAGTAAAATTTAACTTGAAAAAAATTATAGCTCCCTAACTAATAAAAACTAACACCATGGTTTTAATAATTAACAGTTACAGTATATTCAGTACTTATGCTTTTTCTTTTTCCTACAGAAAACCATAGGCAAAATTGCAACATGCTTGGAATTACGAAGTGCAGCTTTACAGGTAAACACAGTTTTTTTCCTGCTTTCTAATGTGAGAAAAATACATTATGAACTATTCTAATAAACCTTAAGCATTAATGTTAAAATGTCTCAATACTTTGACACAAAGTATTGTCTCAGAAGATATGTCTAGCAATAGGAATTCATGGGTTAAACTCCTATTAAAAGATTTAATTCATATTTAATAAACTGAAGACAGAAAAGATAAAACTTCAATTTTTTGTTATTTTTAGCTAAATGTTCTAAAATACAAAAACAAAAACCAGTTTGGGACTTTTCATTTTCTTTTCTTTTCTTTTCCTTTTTTTTAAGAAGATTTTATTATTTGTCAGAGAGAGAGCACAAGAGGGGGAGCAGTAGGCAGAGGGAGAAGCAGGTCCCCTGCTGAGCAGGGAGCCCGATGTGGGGCTCAATCCCAGGTCCCTGGGATCACGACCTGTGCCGAAGGCAAATGCTTACCAAACTGAGCCACCCAGGCATCCCGGGACTTTCCATTTTCTACTTCGAGAGCATGAAATGGATTCCTTCATTTTGTGCACTTTTTGAATATTTAGTTCTTGCCACTTAAAAGACATAGGGTATCATGAAATCTTTGTAATAAAAAGATATAATATGCATATTTCAAATTCAGTCCACACAGTCTCAAGAAGAATTTAAACTGGAGGACCTGAAGAAGCTAGAGCCAAGTAAGTTTTATCGTTTCGTGGGACTCCTTTAGAAAACTACTTCTCCGTTATAGATATTAAGATTATTTAGCATAGATGTTTATTCATTTCTTTTCCTACCTAGTCCTATGTGATATTTTGTGCTTTTATAATTCCTGTAATATTTATAGTAATTATTATTCTGTTTACCATTATAGAATATGAAAAATTGATTCCAGGTTCTACCTCATTCATATATTTTAGCCTTTGTTTTAATCACTTTAATAAAGACTGTAATTACTTTGGTAAACAGTTGCAGTAGCGTTCACTGGAGAGTATAAAGTTACAGGTACTGATGCCCATTTATACTATATGTCCTGGAAAACTACCATCCAGCTGTTTGTGGTGCTCTACAAAAGATTTCCTTGTTGTCCCCATTTTCCTGTCCCTTCTTGAAAGCTTTTTTGAAGTAAACAGTTGCTTCAAATGTTTTGGTGGTTAGGATGTGCCAAATAAGATTTTCTTATTGGTTCACATGAATGTTCTCTCAGAGGAATGTTTTCTTATCGTTCTTATGAAGAACAAAGTGGGCAGAGGCACAAGTACTGAATATCACCGTGTTCCACCACATTTTTTTTAGCACTGTTTTTAGCACACACCTGCTTCCCCCACTCCTCAATTCCCAGCCCTAGGAAACCGTGTATCCACTTTCTGTCTTGTGATTTTTTTTGCCTGTTCTGGACATTTTGTATAAATGGAATCCTATCACATATGGTCTTTTGTGACTCATTATATATAAGATTATTTTAAGAAAAGCACATTGATGGCTTTTTAAAAAGATCAGCCACAGTGAGGATATCTGTTGTATAATGGTTTTAAAGATTATAATGTTCAATTTTTTTTGAATGATAAGAATAACTAGAATTTTGGCTTTCTATTTAGTCATTGTTTTCTATTTTGTTGTTATTTGTTGTTTGGTGTTTCCAAATAAAACTTTAGAGTGTTACAGATTTCTCCTGTTGCCTTATAGGATCTTTCACGGTATTACTGGTTACCATTCCCATTAATGGAACCAAACACTCAAATAAGTCCACCAGCTGCCATTTGCTAACTTCATGGTCTTACTGCTTGTAAATGCAAGAACTGGGTTTTAACCAGGGTTCTAAGCCACCCCAAAGCCCATGTTCCTGGCACTGTCCTCTGTTGTACTACCTATGGGTGCAGTATTGACATCAATCCTAAATACTGTGGATTTCCAGCTCAGGCTCTTGGGAGATTACTGACTCACGTATGAGTGGCATTTTGGACTAAAATCTGCATTCGTCTTCTATTTCTTGCTTTTTTGTTTGCTTGTTTTGTTTTTTTAAGATTAGGGATGGGAATGGAAAGGAAAGATAATATTGGGATTTATTTTGTCATATTTTGAATTTATATAGTGCCTTTCATTTGGACTGTCCCTTCTTCATACTTAGTTATCTTTTCAGGTGATTTTAATTTGCTCTTGCCTTTTAAAGGAATGTAAATGTGTATCTTATATCTCAGGATATGCTCTGTAATTTTGCATTTATCAAAGCTAGGCACTTCTTATGAATTATTTCATCAGAACTGAACATTTTCTACAAATCAGTATTTGAGTATATTTCAGGTTAAGTCAAGCTAGTTTCTGCCTCTTTTAAGACTATAAGGAAAGGAAAATTAATATGTGGGATTTGGTTTATTCTGTTAATGTACTTTTCCTTTAAGGTTAAAAAAAAAGTCTCTTGATAATCCTTTCTGAAACTAGTACTACCTCTAAGAATTTGAAAGTACTATTTATTTCATTTTCTGATGTTGATCCTTGGTAATATACTACTTCTTACTGAAACATACCTCCCCCACCACCACTCTGTGAAGTTCCTTCCATTGACTGATCCTTAAAGGCCCCAGAGAAATCCCACCTTTCTCTGAAAGCTTTCTCTGCTCTCCCACCCCTAATTAAATTCTACATCCTGGCCTTTTTAGGAGCACTTTTTATGTCCATTATCATAGTGTGCCCTGTGTGATGCTCACTTAAATTCATTTTGCTCCTAAATGAAACGGTCAGTAACCTTTGTATTTTCTCCACAGAGCCCAGGCTGCATATCGTATGATCTTGGCAAATTTTTAAGTTGAACAGTGTTGAATGTCTCCAGGGAATTTTCTCCCATGATTAAAAAAGTAACCTTTCAGCTAGGAAGCACTTACTCATTTTGTCCACCAGAAAAATGAAACAAATCAGCCACAAAAGCAGAACACACGTTGTTGACTGTGTGTCATTTTTAGAGTATGGCCTTCAGGAGGGTGGGAGGCCATGCTCTGTGAGAGTGGGCAGGGAGTACTGGGTTTTTCCTCGCAGGGGTGCACTATCAGATGTCAGCCACGGGGTGAGCCCCTTGGTCCCCAAACCGTGATGGACTCCGTGCTCATGATAATACCTTCCGGGAAATTATAAACTGCTTCTCTTCTCCAGATCTTCCTAAAATATCAGCACTAGCATCGGTGGAAGAAAAATCCTATATATAAGTTTTAAGTAGACCCCTATTGTAAAAGCACATTAGAATCTCTGTTATTCCATAGTTGGTGAGAATAGAAACCTATAATTAAAGAAAATGAGAAAGGACCTGTTATTTTCTTCCAAAAGGATATGAATTAACTACCTGATATGCTCTATTATTGTAAATAGAAACTAATGACAAGCTATTGTACCAGGTCAAGACTTTCCTATGATAGCATTGGTACCTAAGAAAATAAATACTGTCCTATTCTCGTATTACAGTAGAAACAAAAGGTATTCTTAATAACTGATAGAGTGTTTGACTTTTTTATTGATTTTTTTATACTTGTAAAGTTTGATTTTTTTCCCCCCTTTTATTATTAAAATAGCATTGCAGTGCTTTCATTTCTGATGTGAATGCTACAAGGCCTTCTTTGTCACCACTCCCCTACTCTTAGGATCTAGCACAATACTGTGTAAGCGATTAATTGATATTTGAGTTGAATTAATAGTTTATTTACACTGAGCAATCATGCACAGGTTTAAAAAAGGATGTTTTTGTAATTTTAAAAATAATACTTCTTAGACCTGAAATAGTAGGATTCTAGTTAGCTGAATAGGGAAAACTATGGAGAGAATAAATTACTGTATAATAATGTGAGCTTATACTTATGTGGGACTTTAAATTTCCCATGCAATTTCATATATATTAATTTACTTCTTTCCACAGTGGGGAAGTGGTGTTCCCGTTTTAGAACTGGGGAAACAGATTCAGAGTAGTTATATAAATGACATAATGACAACTGACATGATTATGGGACTTCTCTCTTGCTTATCAAACTTGAGTTATATAGTCTGTTTTATTCGTTGAACAAGCCAAACTAGTACCTGCCTCAGTCTTTGTTGTTGTTGTTGTTGTTGTTACAAAGATTTTTTTTTTTAAGATTTTATTTATTTATTTGACAGAGATCACAAGTAGGCAGAAAGGCAGGCAGAGAGAGCAAGGGAAGCAGGTTCCCTGCTGAGCAGAGAACCTGATGCGGGACTCGATCCCAGGACCCTGGGATCATGACCTGAGCCGAAGGCAGAGGCTTAACCCACTGAGCCACCCAGGTGCCCCCAAAGATGTTATTTTTAAGTAATCCCTCCACTTAACATGGGACTCAGACTCACAGCCCTGAGATCAAGAGTCGCATGCTCCACTGACTGAGCCAGCCAGGGCCTGCCTGTTTTTTGTTTTTTTTAAATTTTATTTATTTGAGAATGAGCACAAGTAGGCAAAGCAGCAGTTGGAGAGGAAGAAGCAGGCTTCCTGCTGAGCAGAGAGCCTGATGAGGGGCTCAACCCCAGGACCCTGGAGTCGTGACCCGAGCTGAAGGCAGACACTAGACCCACTAAGCCACTTGGGCGTGCTCCCTCTAGCCTGTTTTTTAATACTTGGAAAGCCCTTCCCCAGTGCTACTTAGAGACAGTTCCTCTCATTCCACATTATGGCTCACTAGTGTTCCAACAGTTATGTTGAAAGGCCTGCCCTGTCCACCTTAGCCGAAGTCCCTCTGCTCCGCTTACGCACTCACCGATCCTGTCCTTCATGATGCCAGCCACAGTCTAACAGTACCTTGTTGATCTGTTGCTTTATTTACTGTCTGCTTTTCCTGACTGCGGTCTTAAGATCCACAGATGAGAGTAAAGAGCTGTCTGCCTTGATCGCTGCCATATCTTTAGCACCTAAAACAGTGAGTTGAACCGTGCGGGCGCTCAGTGCACATCTGTTGAGCGGAAGAACGAGAAGGGAAAGATGAGGATAAGAGCTGGAGGGAGAGAAGGAGTAAGAATGAACAAGAAGGTAGACCCAAGTCCCAGACATCTCTCTCATTGAAGGACTCAGTAAGAGTGCCCCTCCGACTCCTGTTGGGATAAACCACGAAATTGCACATGCTCTGGGATTTCCTACTTTGGGATGGTAACATGTATGCCACAGCTATTTTATCTCTAAACTACAGCGCTCCAAAATGAAGCTAAGTGAGTTGAGTACAAAATCTTAGGAACTCTCCGGATGCCATTACTCCACCTTCATATAACTGCAGGGAGTTGCTGAAGACCCGTAACCCCACATTTGAAGCTCTAAATTACATGCTTTTAGGGGCACCTGGGTGGCTCAGTCGTTAAGCGTCTGCCTTCGGCTCAGGTCATGGTCTCAGGATCCTGGGGTCGAGCCCTGTGTCAGGCTCCCTGCTAGCGGGAAGCCTGCTTCTCCCTCTCCCTCCTTTCTCCCCTCTCCGCCTGCTTGTGTCCCCCTCTCACTGTCTCTTTGTCAAATAAATAATTTTTAAAAAATAAAATAAGTTAATACTTTTAGTAACTCTGTAAGGTATCCATATTCATAGTAGCTCTCTAAGCACAGGCAGAGTTATAGAACATCTCTCTTTAAGTTTACATATCAGCATGTAATCATGGACCATACCATGATGCAGAAGGTGATGGGTTCCATGTTATCTGAAGACTTCTCCTGAGGGTAAATCCCTCTTTGTGTATTTGTCTACGTATGTGTGTAGATATATGTATGTCTGTAATAAACTGTCGTAAATGGCATGTTGAAATTGTAACCAGTTTTGTTCAGTTTTGCCAGTTTAGTGGAGTTGAGGGGAAATCAGGACGTAGACCAAAATGTCCTGACCAAAATTGGTTATCTTTGAACCAGTCTTGTAATTGAGGTACTCCAGGAAGGAGATCTCTTTTTCTGCTGCCATATGTCTCACCTAGGACCTTGTACATACAACTTAGTTTGTTTTCTGTGAGGGCTCTGAGACTCTGGAACTTACTTTCCTTGGAGATATGACAAAGTACTTGTGCCTGGAATATACTATGGATATTTTCATTTTGCTAAGACCTTCTGTGGACAAATGCATCATGGTTCTGAATGATGATGAGAGTGGGAATTTTTTTAAGTATTAATATGCATAGTAAAATTGACTAAAAATCAGTCATTTCTAATAAAATTTTTTATTTTGATTCATGGCAGAGTTTATGTGTCTGTCTTTCTGTTTTTATTCTAGTCCTAAAGAATATTCTTACGTATAATAAGGAATTCCCATTTGACGTTCAGCCTGTCCCCTTAAGGTAAAATTATTTTTTTGTCTTATTTTATAACTATTTTTCAGATATTTCTGCATTTTTTAAATCCATATTGGTATCTTTAATATCAGTAGGTCAACATTTTTGTGTCAACATTTTTTGTGTCTACATCTTACCTGGGATGTAATCTTTATCTATAATAGAGCTATAATGCCTCTCTAGGGTAGTTAGTTTTGTAGCTCACTTTTGTCTGCTGTTTTGCATGCAGAAGAATTTTAGCACCTGGTGAAGAGGAGAATTTGGAATTCGAAGAAGATGAAGAAGAGGGTGGTGCCGGAGCAGGGTCTCCTGATTCCTTTCCTGCTAGAGTTCCCGGTGAGTATCACCAATTGCAAAACAGGCATAACAAGGCATAACTTAATTCAGGCTTAGGGGGTTTAGAACTTATTTTGGTACTTGCCAATCTTAAGCAAATTTTCATTGCCATGTTATTGGCTGGAGCTATTTTATATGTTTAGTCTGAAGGCATCTTACTGTCTGTGTTGGGTACACAAGGCCACCCAAATTCAGTGATCTGCTAGGAGGACTCACGGACTCAGCATATAGTTGTAGTCACAGCGATGATTTCACAGTTATGATTTATTGCACTGGGCAAAGACAAGAACAAAGTCAACAAAGGGAAAAGGTGTGCAAGTGAACGGAGTCTGGAGGAAACCAGGTGCGGGCTTCTTCTTTTTTTTTTTTTTTTAGATTTTATATAAATTCGAGTTTGTTAACAAAGAGTATATTGTTAGTTCCAGGGATAGGATTTAGTGATTCATCATTTGCATACAAAACCCAGTGCTCATTCCAAGTGCCCTCCTTAATGCCCATCACCCATTGCCCCGCAAGGCACAGGCTTCTGAGAGTCTCTCCCAGTGGAGTCACGCAGGTTGTACTACGTGTAAAATGGGTCTGAGGGAAGCTGTTAGAGGCTCCGTGCCCATAGCTATGATGACGCCGAACTGGAGGTTCACATGGCCACTTTGGACTCCTCCGGCCTCCGAATCGACAGGCGAAGAAGGGAGTTACCGTGCTGGCCAAGGTGGCTGATTCCGAGTGCCCCTGGGGAAGGCAGACAGCTACTCCACGGTGACTAGAGGGGACCCGTTTGGATGTCCATCGTATCACAACTCCTGTGATTAGGGTCGATGGCAGAGTGCACGCATCCAGTCCCTGCACGACCAGTGATGGCTTCTAGTACGTGGGTTACAGGATGTCAAGGAGAAGCACAAACATCGCTCACAAAACATCACCTCCTCCTCTGCGGAAGGCGCTAGTGAGGTTTGGGTTGTGTACAGGACAGTAGTATCACGTTAAGTATGGCCTTCTTACTGCCTTTATATAGAGCTTAAGTGTGGCTCAAGGAGATGTGTCTGCGTGCCGAGTAGACAAGGCGTGACATGGTGATGTTTAATTGTGTATGTCAGCCTGACAAGGGCCCGGGGTGCCCAGACATCTGGCCAGAGGTCACTCTGGGTGTGTCTATGAAAGTGTCTCCAGAGACCTCACATTTGAATTGAAGACTGAATGAAGCGGATTGCCATCCCTAACGTAACAGGCTTCGTCCAGGCGGCAGAAGGCCCAGACGGGACAAAGAGGCCTCCCCTCCCCTCTTTGAGCTGGGATACTGGTCGTCTTCTGCTGTGGGACTCGAACTGAAACATCAGCTTTTTCTGGGTCTCAGGCCTCCTGGCCTTCTGTCTGGAACATACACCATGGGCTCTCCTGGTTCTGAGGCCTCAGACTGAAACTACATATCTGTCTGTCTGTCTGTCTTCTGTTTCTCTGGAGAACGCTGAATACAGTAGTTAATCACATCTGCAGAAAGAAAAAAAAGAACGAAACTCCATCCCAGCACCATTCTTAGGGGCTGATCACATAGGCACCCTCTGCTTAGCACTGGCCAGAGTTCCAGACTCCCGGAAGGAAAGTGCATGCTCAGCATAAAACATATTGTTTGCACAGTTTACCGATAGTGACCGTCCTTACTGGGGGATGGTGGGGACATGCCAGAAATCCAAGTTCCCAGACTCTAGCCTGGGGTGGTGGCCTTGCCACCTGAGAATAACAGTCTCCGGCCTGCTATAGTAACTCTTTTCTGTAGACTCTTCTAAGCACTTCTTTAATTAATCAAATGTAGTCATTAAGACTGCATCCAAGGGGAGTGGGTACTGAGCAAATGCTCTTTTTTCCCATCTTGTTTTAGGAAAAGAAATAACGTATGGCAAGTCATTTTTATTTGCAGAAGATCTCCATGAGGATCTTCCCTTTCTGCAGGCACCCTGGATAAGTCTCTTGCCTCTCCCAGTCACTGGGTCACTCTTACACGTGCATCATTTTCATTTCTGGCAAACTGATTCACTTTAGGTGTGAGAGCAATATGCTATGAGATTATTACACATTTTGAAATAGACCCTAGAAGCTTTACAGTAGAGCTAAGCACAATTTGTGTGTCATCCAGATAACTTTCTTGGTAATAAAAGTATAGTAATATTCCGATATTTTTTTTTTTTTTTAAAGATTTTATTTATTTATTTGTCAGAGACTGAGGGAGAGAGAGCGAGCGAGCACAGGCAGACAGAGAGGCAGGCAGAGGCAGAGGGAGAAGCAGGCTCCCTGCCGAGCAAGGAGCCCGATGTGGGACTCGATCCCAGGACGCCGGGATCATGACCTGAGCCGAAGGCAGCCGCTTAACCAACTGAGCCACCCAGGCATCCCAATATTCCGATATTTTTAATACTCCCCGGGAGGAGGCATTATGGAGCAGGAACAGCGTAGACTTGAGCCAACAGGTGCTTGGGCTGGCGTCTAGGCTCTGACAGTGACTCGTTGAAGGGCTTTGTTCTGATTTCCTAAACCAGTCTGAAGCTCAGTTTCTTTTATAACATGGGATAATAGCAGTGCCTAACTTGTCGGGTTCCCGTGAAGATGAAACACAGTTCTGTGGCTAAAGCTGCGAGCGCCATCGGGGTCACGTGCTGAACATTCCGCGACACCTTTTGTTCAGTGGGGGTAGGTAGCAGGACCTACGCTCTGGGGTTACTGGGGAAATTACAGGCTATGTTTCTTTGGGGGCAAGGGCATTATTTCCAATCTGCTTTGCTTTATGAAGAGCGATGTATTTTTCTTACTTTTGTCATATAGGTAAGAGATTTCAAGTTGATTGAGCTGGTGAGAGAAATTACTTTGCTGTTTTACTACCTGAATAATTGTCATTCCCTTTCCGAACCGCATATTATAATTGACGTGGCTTCCAGTGCTATAAATTTCAGTCTAACTTGGTGGTTTGCTCACTTCTGTACTTTGATAGCAGTTAAGATCCTTAAAGTAGATGATATAAACTGTGATACAGATTAAGATCTTTGTGGTGTTCAGGTTGATGAGTTGAAGGGAAACTTGTACCATAAACTAAATCTATTTGCTATATAGGATTAAGCCCAAATGAAATAGATTTTCGTATTCTGCTACAGCATTTTGATATCTCATTTCAGAGATACAGAAGGGTTACTGGACCCTTGTGTTCGGTGAATTTCTTTTTTCCAAAATTAAGAAAGAGCACATATAGTTTAAGTAACTGTATTTAGTTTGTGATATGAGTGTTATTAAGTAATTCGTAGAGTGCCTGGGTGGCCCAGTCGGTTAAGCATCTGTCTTCAGCTCAGGTCATGATTCCAGGGTCCTGGGATCAAGCTTCTCCTCTGGCTCCCTGCACAGCGGGGAGTCAGCCTCTCCCTCTCTCTCTACCCATCCCCCCCAACTCATGCTCTCTCACTGTTTCTCGCTGTCTCTCAAATAAATAAAATCTTTTTAAAAAAAGTAATTTGTGAAGTTATACTTACTGAAATCATCATCAAAATAGGAAGGTGACATTCGACATTTAATTGTAAAGCAGGAAAACATTTCTTGGGAAAAGCAGGCTCCCCCGCTGAGCAGGGAGCCCAACACCGGGCTTGATCCCAGGACCTTGGGATCATGGCCAGAGCCGAAGGCAGATACTTAAGCAACTGAGCCCTCCAGACAGGGTTCACTTTTGTTCTTATATAATTTATTGAGTTGTAAGTTTGTTGTGACTTTTTTAAAGTCAGATTTACTGAAATATCGTTTACATGTATATTTACGTATAAAATGAGTGATTTTTAGTGTGTAGCTTATATGTTTTGACAAATGCATACAGTTATGTAAACACTACCACTAATGAAGAATGCGGTATTGTATATGATATGTATGACTCAGTGTTTTTTTTCCCATTTAAAATTAAAAATGACTTTTGTCCAACCTTTCTTGAAGAAAAAAGATTAGAAAAATCTTAGCTTTCTTGATAAGTACTTTCTTCTTTTCAAAAATTTAAAAACTCATAAGACAAACAAATTTGTTAAATAATTGGCTTAAGTCAAAATGACAATTTGTCTACAGGTAGGCTTGGCGGGGATGCCTGGGTGACTTCAGTCAGTTAAGTGTCTGACTTCAGCTCAGGTCTTGGTCTCAGGGTCCTGAGATGGAGCCCCCTTCACTGGGGGAGTCTTCTTCTCATCTCCCTGTCATCCCACTCATCCTCTCTCTCTCTCAAATAAGTAAAATCTTGAAAAATAAAAAAATAAAGTAAAAAATAAAGGTAGGCTTGTTAGATTTCATTTAAATAAAGGATATAAATTTCCAACCTGTTATTTATGTCCAGAAAATTGACTGACAGCATTGAATAGTAAAGCTAGTAAAATCATAAGCAGAGCAGTATGAATTTAAAAATAGCCCAAGACACAATTTTCCAAGATTTTTAAAAAATTTTTCATATCGAATGACATGATCAATCTCAAAAATAGGTTTAGCCATTTCAAAATTATTATATGAGTGTGTTGATTTATCTCTATAGAGACTTAAATATGTGTACACGTTTATTTTTGAAACTAGAAATAAAGAATGTGATTTATCTCTTTAATGTAGAAACAGTTTTCATATTCACTTGGGAAAGACATCTTTCATAAAAGGAGAATTACCATTGGCTTTGAAAGTTAGATATGCAGTCCCCCTTTTTTTTTTTTTTGAGAGAGTGCGCTTGCATGGTGGGGTTGCCGGGTTGGGGGAAGGCTCTTAAGCAGGCTCCTTGCTCAGTGCAGAGTCCAACGAGGGGCTTAATCTCACGATGCTGAGATAGTAACCTGAGCCAAAATCAAGTCAGATGTTTAAGCAAGTGAGCCACCCAGATGCTCCAGCAGTCCCCTTTGACTGTCAAAAAAAAAAAACCCATAATCAGAGTGAAAAAGACAAATAAGGAGCCAACATCCTTAATACATAAGAAATCTTTAAGCTCTGACAGCAAAGGCCACAGGCACATTAGA